TCCCTTCTATCCACGACCGATTCGCGTCGCATAAAGCTTGTCTTGCGCCAGTTGCATCTGCGACGAGGATGCATATGTGATGTGCAATATTTAATTGTTTCCCGCCATGTGTTATCGGGACCGATATAAGAAATGTTGCCCGTTCGGTGATCATCTCAAACGTCTCGCGTGATTGAGCGCCGTTGAAATCGAGAAAGAGTTGTCGGGCAAGGATAAGAATAAAGTTTAACTTCGGAAACGAGGTAACTTTAGGCAAGAAAAGCTAATAATATGTTAAAAATTTTGTTCTAATCTCCTGACTCATGTTATCTGTCATTTTATCATTTAAATAAAACAAATTTAAAATAAAACAAATTTAAATTTAAAAGATTTATTTTAAAAACTTTATGTTGTTATTAATATTTATTATTGTTTAAAAGTCATTAAACAAATATTTAAAAAAAGCATGGTTAAAAGAAATAGAATATATAGGTAAAATAAACAAAGAGACCTTCACAATTAAAAATAGGAAATCTAAATATTAAATAAAAACAAGTAACGCGAAAAATTTTATACACAAAGAAAGAGAAGTATATATATCACGACTTATATATCTTCACTTAATAACTTGTTTAATTTTTGTTATGAGATGAAAAAGGAACTCTGTCGTATAACGTGCATGTCAAAATTAACATCCATGTAGGTGGATAATCATAGTACCATATTTTTCATATGCCTATTCATGTCATAATGTGCATTATCTGACAAGAATAAATGTCATGCAGCGTATTCTAACAAACTTTGCATCCCATTTTTATTCATAATTATTATAATCATCTCACATATTTTAATTGTTGTAATTTCAATTTTTTATGTCATATAAAATTTAAGAAAAAATAATACTTCAATAAATTTCATTAAAATTGTATTTTTTACTATGCATATAATCATCTGTAATCGTAATAATGTTGTTTATATTATCTATTCATAATTTTATTTACGTGTAAAAATGTTTCACGTTCAAAGTGATAAGAATCATTATAATTTATATAATGTATTATATCACATTACAATTTATATATTTTTAAAATCGATAATTTGCTTTATATTTATTATTCTCATATTTTCCTAACACTTATAAATGACTTTTACAGTTACTTGTTGATCAAAATATGACAATGGCCACAATTTATAATGTAATATTAAAAATAATTAAAAAAAACTTGATGAAAAGAGAGACAATATATTTTATTAATAATTTTAATTAAATATAAATTGAGAGAGATTTGCAAATAAAATCTATTTTAATTAAAATATGACAAGAAAAAATACTCTGTATTTTTTTTATTTTAAAATATCTCTTGCATTTTTTTATACTCGGTAAATATTGTCACCCTTAAATTAATTTACAAATCGTCTCTTTTTCTGATGCCATTAAAACGTAGTGGTGAATTCAATCATGCCACTTACTGTCATTTATTCATCAACTATATTGTCATCATTGTCATTACCGTTATCGTCCCCCATAATTGCAGATTCTTGCGCGTAAAAAACTTCGTCACGTTGAAAAGAAATCCGACACGTGCGGAACTTTCTGTTCTATGAAACAGCTGCTTGAATCCCAGAATTAAATTGCACGATTAGCATGATAATCGAATCGCTTTTGCGAGCGTGAAAGGAGCAGAATACCAATAGAATCGTGGCGACCATGGTGGCAGTTACACGATCGATGTATAAACGTAAATTTATAGATAGACGACTGTATATCGCAGCTATTTCTGTTGCAAAAAAACTTACATCCTAGACAATAATAGTGATATCAAACTTTTGTTTGCGAGATGCTTTATTTATGCATGCAAGTTGCCGTCTGTCTGAAGCTTTGATCGATCGACTTAGAACTAGCTGTTAATCACGATCTCAAATGACTATAGACTTGAAACACAAAACTGAACATTTTACATACTGATTTACACGGAAGATTAAAAAAAAGTAAACATTTAATCTAGACATTTTCTCAGCAATTTCACGTTGATCTTTTTATTTTCTTAAAATTAAAAGTTTTCTTTATTAAAAATAAATCTTATTATTTTATTTATACATGCATCCTAATTTTTGGTAATTTTTTTACACATTCCATCATGAGCGTGACATCCACTTAATATTAAAGCTGCTCTAACAACCGTTGATAAACGTGAGAACACAGTGATTAAGGATGTCGAAGGAAATTAGTAAATGTCTCAGAGGAAGAAGATGATTACGAGACAAAACCAAAAAAAATATCGTAATAACTGACTATATTATTACGCTTATTTCTTCTAAGAAAAACCGACAATAAGTATTTTCAATTTAAATAAAAGAGGATTTTGTAATATTCCATAAGCTTCGAATTGAATATGATTGTTGATTAAATTAAACAATTTGTAACATCAAATTGAAACAATGAAACGTATCGCTGAAACTGTTATTTAATTATATTTTTAATATGTTTTTGACACAAAAAGATAATTATAATCTCTTTATAATCTTTATCGATGTTTAATAAACAAATATTGTTTGAAGCGAAAAGTTACATATAAAATAAAAATTACTCTGTACGTTAACATGAAATAATTATGCATTAATTAAACATTAAATTAAATTAAACATTAAATTTGTTTATGATTCAAGATATATAGGTCTTGACATCAAATGATATTAACATATTTGCCTTTAATATTAATAAAATTATTTGATAAATCTAATATAATTGCGATTTATTTATATAGTTCATTAGAAGTTGAATTTCTAAATTATATAAAAAATTAACTACTTGAATGTTTTAGATATTAACTTTAAACGTTAACTACTTGAAATGTTTAGAAAAATATATTAAAATTTTTATCAATTTTTTTATTTACATCGAATTTGTCATAATACAAAATTAATGTGTGTGCATGCATATAATTAAATCTCATAAATTTATTATTCTGAATAATGTACAACATTTAATGATTTGTATAATCGCTATGCACTCATGCGATTCTATATTGCAACAACATGATTATGACAAAGAAATATATAATTAAATCAAAATGTTAGCTTTACATAGACGCTTAAAGTCGCTTTCATTTTCGTTTATCATGACAATGCATATCAATGCAGTTAATTTTCATTAAAATGTCACATTTGAATTATACATCTATTTTCCCTTTTCTGATTTGTAAACCGCGTTCAATTTGTCAACCGCGTTCATTCTCATATCTGAATTTTGACAACTATCTCCAACTTTTCTCATTTTCACACATAATCATAAAAACTATCTCCAACTTTTCTCATTTTCACACATAATCATAAAAATATTTCTAAGCTGATCATTTGTCAGTTACAAATGATACAATGATCGAATGCAGTGATTTTATGCATTCATTCAGCATTGCAAGTGCGTTTTCTATGTAATATGAGAACAGGTATAGAATGCGTAGCAAGTAGAATAAAATGATATCTTTTACTACAGAGTTGTGTAACTTGTATTCATATCGGTCCAATAAAAAATAATCGGCAGATTGAATAATTGTAATGATTGATAAGATATGCAACTTTGAATGAACCTTGAAAAAATATATTCAATAGAAACAAATACTATTTTAATATGAAAATGGGAAAATATATTCAAAAGTTAAAAGAATTCATTTTTTTAAATACAAATTGCATTTGCTATTAGATAAGCTATAATTTGCTATAATTTTATACATATGTATATATATATATATGTGTGTATATCGTCATATTGATAGTATAAATGAATAATTTTACTAATATTATCAACATAAAAAACTCCATATTCTTTAATTAGTCATAAAATTTAGATTAAATTTAAAATTTAATAGTAAACAAAATGCCATTATATTAAGTCATTTTTAATACTGTCAAGCTTTATGGGCTGCAGTTAATATTTGTATGTATTTCCTATTATCATATGTACAGACAAAAAATAAAATAAATATAAATGTTTTTAATCTGATCGAATATCCAATATACATATACATAATAATTTCTATTAATTTAATTTATTCAGAAAAGACATTATCTTTTTCTTCTTAAAGAACCTAATTCGATTGTGAAACCAACTATATAAACGAAAATTGTAACACTGCAGAATCCGCTAAATTCATTCTCATTATCGAACAAAAGGTCGGCGAGAGCGAAATATATGTATTTCTCACGACAATAACAAAATATATATATATATATATATATATATATATATATATATGTATTAAAAGCTTGAGACAAATATATTGTCGTGAATGCAATGTGGAAATGTGCATTATTATTGATACATATACATATTATTTGTTAAGGAACTAGTCACAAAACTAATTTATTACAAAATCATATTTAATTACATATATGACACAGAATTATTATGCACAATTAAATCATATTTAATGAGACATATATGAAATTTAAATAAACTACATGGAAGATTAAAGAAGTAAATGATTGAAAGAAATAATATGAAATTTAATAGCATAAAAGAGAAACAGAGGAGGAGAAGTGGTCGTCAGCAAAGTGAGCCTCCGGCTGAGGAAGTTTAATTATTATTAACTCGCGTCACAGTAGTTACGTAGATGGTCGCAGACAGACGCCCACGAAATATTTCGTGGATAAACACCCACGAACTATTTTGCGATGCACGCTCACGTGCATGTTTGGCATTTTCCTTCACCACTGAAATAAACATACAACTTTCAATTTATTTCATTTAATCGAACAGACATAAATTCAATATTAATAAGAAAATACAAAAGTACAATTTTCGATAATAAAACCAGTATTCTGTACGATATTTTTTATAGAAAATTTATCATCAGCAGCAACACGATTCGAAAAAAGAAATCAGACAAACGAACTCGATAACATTTCCGCCGGTTGAAAACTTGTTAATGTGTTAATAATAGAAACATGCTACAGCAACGAATGCATAAAAAGAAAATCTACATTGCAATAATTTGAATTGAACGTTCAATTTATTTTCACAGACCGTGGATGCAGCCGAGAGCTGGCAGTGGTGGGGCCCACGCGGGCGGGACAGGTGACGATGAGGCCCCGAAAGATCCGGGGGCGCGGATCACCCATCAATCTTATACGGAAAAGGATTATGAAGGTAAGAGACATCAAAGACTTTTCTTAAAGCGAATAAAAATTAATCGTAATCAACACAAATGTTTTTTTATACTATTACTTAGAAATAAATAGAAATATTATTAATTCATTAAAGGCATTTTATAATTATATTGATCATTATTCGATTGTACTTTCCATGATGATCAAAAATTTATAATTTCAGATATATAACTATTAATTAACTGATATATTGAATCTATCGAATTCCATATTTTAGGCTATATTATATTAAAGCATAGTTTGATGATGTACCAAAATATATGAATATTTCAATGAGATTAATCAGAATTAATTTTTCATAATGAATATCAGTCAAATTTATGCGATTTAACGATATGAAAAAACAAAATATCTTATTAATAAAAAAAGAAAAATTACAATCTTTAATAATTCCTATGACTCTTGCTTTGCAAAGTTTATGTAAAATTCTTTCACCGCTATTTTAGAAGTAAAGAATAACGAATCGAGCTTCTGTTTTGTAAGCATCAAATCTCCAATAGGCAATGTGCTATAGGTCAGTCTGATATGAATTTGGCTTCAGTGTTTGCTCACATGACGATCCTCGCGCGTATAGGAGCTTCGAAAATCGTTATTTCGTTAAACAACACCATCAGCTATAGATGGATAGATACATGTGACCAGGTCACCTTGTACCAATGAAACGTATGGATAGAGGCCATATATGTCATGATGATCTTGCATCGTAAACGTTAAGCCCTTTATCAAAACAAATTAATCACTTCGTCTAGTAGCTGATCATTTTCTTCCACCGACGAAGTTTTATTGAAAAATGTCAACCAGTCTTTACAGACAAAAACTTTATAGAGAATGACTAAATTATAGCTTAAACCTTTCTCAATTGCTTCTAGTAAAAATTTTTCGTTAAATTTTCGTTATCTGCTTTATGGAAAAAAGCTTTTATATTTTATAAACTATATTATATTTCAAGAAGGATATAATGTGTGGCACGGAATCATTATTTATTAAAAGATGTCTAATCGTATTATAAAAATATCAAAATATATATGCAATATATAGATACTTTGATCCAACACTACCTCAATCTAATGCTGGATAGTAACTTCAATGCTCATTTTTATTTATATATATATATATAATGCCCTTTTATAAACATATAACACATAACGTAAATATCTATATATCATGCTTCTTTTATCATTTTCTTATTGCAACATTCTCGTGTGATATCAGTACAAAAACTACAATATTCTTATCAAAGTAATCACGAGATATTTATGAAGCTTAAGACTACGCATAATGATAGTCACTGTAAACTATATTATGTTGAAAGGTTGCACTGTTAATAATATCAGAAAAGTGTGAATAGTATGCTATTAATATATATCATCCTTCGCATAGAAAGTTCAACCATTCGCCTATTATCGCGAAATCGGCGCACACCTATTGACCTTTCCACCTCAGCTGACTCAATATGCCAATGTAACGCAACCGTGTTACACGAATACCCGTATAAATTAATTTCGTTCGCGTGAAGATACGAGCAGTCTTTTTCATTTGCTCTTCTCGCTTATAGGAGCGAGATTACGCAATCAAACGATGCTGACCTAATTTTCTACTTTCTTGTGCGCGGACGAAAGGGAAACAGCATGCACCCTCATGTCTCATCCGAGAAAATCATTCTGAATCTGCGCAAATTCTGGTGTCGGTTGAGAAATACTGCATGACAAGGTATCTCTTTCATCTGCTTCCAGGTCACAGGGCGCACACGGTGTACGTGGGCGTGCATCTGCCGGGGGAGAGGAGACATCGTCGGCATAAGCACCATCATTCACAACGGCAGTCGTACACCTGCGGTAAAGAAGATGCCGACAACGAGAGACCAAGTAAGTTTGATTTTTCCCTTCTTTTTGCATCGCCGGAATTGTGCGACTTTTTTCGAAAATAATGTAACGTCATACTTCGACTCATCATGCTTTGACTCCACCCGAGCTCCTCTTGAAGAGATGACGAAGTATCGCGTGAATAATGGATATGGTGGAGAAATTTCAACCATCGCGTTTTTGCTGATTATATTTTAACATCAATCCATAACATCATCCTTTAACGTAAAGTCCATGTGACATATTTCAAAATGTACGTTGAAATATGATGTAAACTAGTCCCCTACACGCGATAACTGTTGGTAATATATCATTCAATAAATGTATCGTTTATTGCTGTTTAGTAGTAAATTCATGTCAACAGGTGAAATGTTTGAAATTCCGCGGTTTATTAATAAAACGCTCGGACAGAAACGAGAATTCTCGTGAACGGTGTATAAAATGTTAATTGTACATGATATTCCCCCGCTTCTCTTGAGCAAGCTTGTGCACAAGAATTTTCAAGAAATAAGGTCAAATATATCGTTTAACATAAATAAAATTCTATGTATATAATAAATATATTATATATTTTGAGAGCGTATCTTTCTTCGATAAAATTAAGAGTCATTGTTGGCAATCTCATACTATGACGTCAAAAGCTAGAAGATACATATAAACCTCTCTTGTAAAACTTATATGTTCACATAAATAAGTTTTCTTTTGTAAAAAGACTTTAGTTCGATAAAGCAAACTTGTGGATTGCGTCAGAGATTTTAAACGAGATAAAAATTGATGTCAAAGAAAAATCTAACCGATTTCATTATTGTACTTGTGGGAATGTTAAAGCCGTTACGTAATTTATCACCTGTTTTATCTAAAAAGTGTTTAAAAGATTATAATATACAACATATAAAAGTAAACAGATAATAGCAGATATATAAGATAATAGCACAATCGCAAAATTGATAATATATGTCAATATTTTTTTCGACAGTTCACTAGTCAACAATTTTTCACATTTTCGCGTATGATTCACCAAATATATATTTTTACATTCTTACATCAGTTGATTAGAGTAATTTCTTTTTTCAAGAAACAATCGGAATCCTTTCTTTATTGATAAATCATATTAATAATATTAGATAAAATACCTCATTTTAATTAGCAATCATGAAAATCACTTTGATATAGACGCATTTACGCAATTATGCAATCATTAATAATGAAATCGTTATTAAAAATTATGCATAATACGCACGCATTTTACGATATTACTTGCAACGTTTAAATTTAGCATCGACACGAAGTTTGCATTCCTCCAAGAATGACATCTATTCGAGACACTGTACGGATCGCATAATAGATAGAAGAGAATTTTGGCGAGCAGTAAATTTCATCGCTAGAATAATAAGAATGCATATTTTCAACAAAACGTGCATTTAATTAAGTATCATTAAATGTTTGTGATGTATCAATTTTACAATTCATACGATAGCTTTCCACAACCGTGCAAAGGCGTATCTTCTGCCTTGTGTAGTTTTATTTTATTTAGGAACATGCAGTCGTAAATATAGCAATAAAAAGCAGATTGCGCCAGTCTAAAAATGAACGAGAGCCCCTACCTTCGTAACAGTGCGAATTGCCTCGTATCTCTTAACGATGTTATTACTTTGCTCTCACAAATTTGATTGCGCTTCAAAAGTGCCGCTTATTACATAGAAAATTCTTCTGCAAAATTTGCGCTACCATTTTATTCGAAAGCCATTCGGAATGTTACGCTAAAACGTCATATGTGACGCAAACGTATTATATGTGATGTGTAACACTTTTGCGATGCCACTAAACCATATGTGGCAACATGCCAACCACTTGTCGAGACTTATTCGGATATTCACCCTACTTTTGATACATTCAGTACAAAGGGCTAATCGATATCGAGATGCTGCAATTTTTCAGTTCCATTTTTCTTGATTTTTCTTTTATGTTAGAACGATATAATATTAATATATAAATAGAAAATTATATTCTTAATTTTGAAATCTTAATTTTTTTTATTTTGAAATAAACAATCAGATTGTCAAATCTATCTTTTATTAATGAAAATTTGATCAAATATTATTTTCAAAAAATTTGATTTTTAGATACCAAAGATTATTATCAAGTAACATTATATTAACACCTTATAAAGTCGAGTCTGTTTCTTCTTTGTAATTCTGCTCTGTAACTCAATTCATAGAAAGTCCTTTATATAACTTAGTAGTAAATTAAAACGAGAACTTTCAATTTCAAACTTTTGCGTGCGCTTGAAATAAAATACTCTAATGAAATTATTGAGAGAAAATACTGTAAAGTATATTCAAATATATGAAGATTGAGAAAGAATAACTCAAATTACTCGCTTAAACGCAACGAAACGTGATAAAGATAGAGAAGCTCCTGGAAAATATCATATTAGGGTTTCCAAGGCGATAAATCGATTCTCGGCATTTTTTAAAAATAGAGCGAAAACGTGCCATTTCTTTATCGCAGTAAAAAGGTTGTTATATCTATCCCAAATGTTTTATCTTTAAAAATAATATAATATATATTAATATACTTTCTTTATTGAATGTCCAATTAATTTCAATTAATTTATGAAAATAATTGATTATTTTCAATTAATTTATGAAAATAATTGATTAATAGATAGAATTAAAAGTTATATATTTATTTAGTATAGAATTACAAATTTTACTTAATTAAAATTTAAATTATATATATATATATATATATATATATATATAACATGATAATATATCTAATTTAACTTAACTTTAATTAAGTAGAATTTGTAATTTTACTAAATAAATAGAATATAAGAATATAAGAATATAAGAATATAAGAATATAAGAAAGTGTATAAGAAAGTATATTAATAGTTATTTTCTCTCTTTCTCTTTATATATTTTAGATCTTTTACTTAGAAAGATAAAAAAATTGTTTTTTCATTATTATGTGCGACATATTTATACGATATTGTGTATATATCGGTGTCATTTCACTTAATCAAAAATTGAAAAAGCGTTTCGTGGCATTTAAAAAAATTCAGTTAATATCCCTCGAAAAGTAGATTTTCTGAGAACTTTCATGAAAAGTGCACAGATCAGAAATTGGTTGCAATTTCTTAGCCAACTAATTATAGCAATAGCCATTTAATTTTTGCCAATGTTAGAAGTTTGCGTCAAAGAAAGTTCACCGTCTCGGCTACCTTACCGCTTTACTACTTACAATACTTTTTGTAGTAATAGAAGATTGTGTAAGATTGAGTGCCAATAGAAGTGCGCAATGATATTAATTGTATAAATACTTAAAATTGCAGAAGTAGCAAATAAAAATAATATTTTACAAAATTATTTATAACAAAATTTATCTTATATATATATATATATATATTTATTCTCAAAAAACATATGACATGAAATAACGACATTAGAAACGTGTTCTGCAATACGTGAATATATTGTCTATATTCATTAAAAATTTTGTTTATACAATCATTAGTTATTAGCTTGGATCTTAACTAGTAAATTGATTTCCCTAATTGGAACATTATCATTGGAATGTTATCATTTTCATATCTCCTTTCTTACTTTATATTAATTTCTGTATTTGTATACTGCATTAATTAATATTAACACAAAATATATATAATATATAAGCAAAATAATTAAAACAAAATAAAATTGAATTTCTTTGACTTGAATATATATATTTATTTTCGATAATATATGACTTCTATTGACTTGAGATCTATCAATGATGACATGAATAAACATTGAAGGTATATGTAATCAATATATTTTCAATCTCTATATCGTCAAATATTCCGTCTTGACCTCGATAAACATTGTATCAAGATAAGCAAACAAGATATTTCTTACCATGAATCAATGTTATAATTCTCTATGATTTGACAATTAATTATAATTCTCACTAAATCTTCACTAAAAGAGCAGATATAAATGCATAAAAGATTATATGTATACATAACAATAACACGATATCGCATCATTTTAAATAGAAGAAAATAAAACCAATCTTTTTTTTTAGAAAGATGGAAGAATCTAAATTTTTCGTAAAAGAGTAAGGCCCGGTTGCAGCAACGTTATTTTAGCTTTAAGCGAGATTTAAATATATGTCTATCTTTATCTTTCTTTCTAGATAAATAAAGACAGACATATATTTAAGTTTCGCTTAAAGCTAAAATAATGTTGGTGCAACCGAGCCTAAGAAACTTACATATATGATCATTCCTCATATTAATTTCTTCATATCGACGCGAAAAGTATGTGATTTGTCTCTTGAGAATCAGCGTTTCTTTAGTCCGAATGACACGGCAACACCATTAACGTTGCAGGACAATTGTTGATGGCGCGCAGGCGTCTCGCTAGCATCTGCGACCCCGCCGGCGAGATGATATGTAAGCCACCCTTATGCATACATACGAGATTCCTTTGTGTGATGCAAATTAACGCGGGACCGTTCGTGCATCTTACAATACAACGTGTTCTCGAATCCTCAAGTTCTTGTCAAGGCTCTCACGTGCTCGCGACTTTGTCACGAATTGCGCATGAGATTCATCGTTGGAAGACAATCTCGGCTTTTGTCGATATCCTATCTCGTGCGAAGATAATATTTCTCTTAATAGATTGCCACCTTACACGCGTATAATGTGCTACGACGACATGTTAGGTGCTCGCGATAATCGCGTTACGTACGTCAAGGTTTATCGGATACAAATAGCTCTTACATCGCCCAGACATCGCCTCGATTCGTTGTTTTATCGTTATATAAAAGTGATCGTATCACACACCGTTGACATGTCGAGCACAGTTACGCTTAAATGCCCCCGTTGCAGGGCATTCGTTAACTCCGCACATGTTGCGAATGTAAATTATGTATGCCGGGATATAATGTCTCCCTCCCTCCAGTTATATGTACAATGCACCAGTTATACGATAAATATTTATAGCATTGTGAGATATACGAACGGTACCCCCGAAATTTATCGACGCACTATACGCTATATGCATAATTTAGAGGAGGGTAAAAACGCTATTTTCGCACTCGCTAAACGCGATTGATGAAAACATTATTTTATAATAATAAATAAGTAACTGTCCTGTCCATGATAAAGAGCGTTTTTAGAATTTTAAAACATTGTATGTAAATATTTATATTTAAAGAGTGAGAGAATTGCCACAAAATAAGTCTATGTAATTGAATTGCATTTGCATTTTCATAAGCTTAAAGTTATATTTAAAATTAACGCTCAATAGATCAAAGAACGAATGTTGTGTAAAAATATTTTCAAATTTTAAAAATGTAATATTATACACATAAAAAAGCTAATAAATAAATAAGTTTAAATTATATAATATTTAATCGATTAAAATATGTATGTAATAGAATTTTAGCTTAAACGTTGATTAACTTCAAAGCCCTCTTTATATCAACGATAGTTATAAATAAAAGGGGCAGTCGATTATGGGGAGTGTACCTTTTCCCCCCCTCTGTGTCATCTATTTTACATAAGATAATGTTTTACCCAACTCTAAGCAAATTACATCACACAATAGGTTACGCAATCGTTCGAATCGGAAGAGATTCTTGTTCCTCTTTTTCTTTAATCTGCTTTCTATGTGTTCTCTTTGAAGGAATCTTTCTAATGTGCATGCGTCATCTATCACATGGCGTATACATATGGTCATACATACATACATTTTTTATACCATTTATTTGGTCGATTGATCAACGTCAGGTGTCTTTTATTTCGCTTCGAAATTGACGCGCGTCAAAAAAAGTATTTCAGAAAAGTATAATTCCTTCGGTCTTTTACGTTATACGTGTTTCGCTCTGATTAATATATTGTTGGATACCTTTTGTGCGTTGACATGTTCTCTCGCCGAACTTTGTTTCTTCATCTCGTGACTCTATTCTCATAAGTTTCTAGATACAAAACTTTATTTCATCTGTTGACATTTTAGTGGACAAGATCTAATTTCTCTTTCATATACGCTACGCAATGTTTCTTTTTAACTATTACATGCATTCGCTGGGATATGCGGAGAATGCGGAGATGCAATATAAGATGCATGTTCTGAGAATCGATAATTTACTTGCTTGCACATAACTGCACGTAACCAGAAACAGCCATTCTAAGCGATTTGCTGTTCATCTTAATGCGCGAGCTCTCGTGAATTGTATCACAAATCAATCTCTATTTATGATAGATAGTGTTATGCAAATGCATAGGGAAATCGAAGCCACAGAATCTCTACTATTATAAAATTAACATATCATTGTATGTATATCTCTGCATTTGTTCAATTTTTTAAATCATATTTTTTGATAAATATTTCGTAAGTCATGTTTTGAACAAGTTTTTTCTTTAATTTTTTATATTTGCCATACTTGACATATATTCTGATAAATGTCTGTCCTTTGTATAAATCTCTTTTTCTATCTCTGTACATATATATTTTCGCAAATACTTTCATCTCCAAATTGCAATCTTGAAATTGACGATTCACGTTTTATCGAATGTTTAGTCACACCACCAGCCCAGAGAGTGCAGTTTATTCTTGGCGAGGAAGTCGGTGACGATGCGCACGAATCGCATCCGCTCTTCTCAGAGATGGAGGAGCTAGTCAAGGATGGCGACGAGATGGAATGGAAGGAGACGGCGAGGTAAAGTTCGAATTGCTACTCCACTTTCATCGACTTAACCCTTTGAAATGCAAACACATATTGACGCGTGTTTACGATGTCATGCATTAAAATGATCAAGATAATATTTTTCTCTTTCATCACGCGGAACGAGGAAATAATATCTAATTTTATCTTTTTTAATTTTATAATTTCAAATTTTTAAATTAGCGATTCAACAAAAAATATTAATTATTCTTTAAACGAGGAATTAAAAAAAAGAATTTTTTAATTATACATGTTTTAAGAGTTTAAACAAAATAATTGTAAGCATCGTATATTATGCATCATGCACAGATGGATCAAGTTTGAGGAAGATGTCGAGGAAGGTGGCAATAGGTGGAGTAAACCTCACGTTGCCACATTATCACTGCACTCACTTTTCGAGTTGAGGAGTCTTCTTTTAAATGGAACAGTCATGCTCGATATGGAAGCAGCCAGTTTGGAGCAGATAGCTGATCTCGTTCTTGATAACATGATTAATAAAGGAGTACTGCCGGTTGAATTGCGAGAAAAGGTAAAAATGTGACAAAAAGCATGTAAGAAATATCATATCTACCATTAAAATAGAAATCTCCGATATCTCTTTTTGGACAGATATAAATGAGTATACTTGTGATTCAACTTTGCTATTGATATAACACTTACATACAAAGGTCATTCATGAAATTTATATATGTGGTTAAAGTAGAAATTAAATTATGCGTTCTGAAAATAGTAACTTATCATTAGATATCTATCATCGTTAAAATCAGTTATTGATTTTATGGAAAGTAAAAAATGCAAAGCAAAAGTTCGAGATTCTATATTCAGAATTCGTTTCCCATTTGAATCAATATTTTAAAGTATCAGCCACACATGTGTCGCTAATTTGATCGATCAGGCGGGATATAAATATCGTTTCAGGTGAAAGAAGCCCTTCTCGTGAGACATCGGCATCAACATGAAAGACGTAAAGACAATAACATGTCGAAGTTACCGATCATAAGATCGTTAGCTGAGATAGGACGCAATCATTCCTCTTCGAAAAGTAAGTTTCATGCCATGGCCCGATGTCAGTAATTTTTTTTTGACAGGTCACCGGATCAGACTTACACATATAATGTACATAATACTTTTAATCAGGCACATGGACGCTCAGAAACAGAGATTGTCTCTCTGTAATTAGCACCATCAAACTCCGTTTGCTACGTTTGCCTACTTAATATGCTCTCTCACAATACGCGAGCTTTTTATTTTCTTTAAGTTTATAATACTTCATTTTTTATTTGTTATAATTAGTGAATTATTCTTACAATTAGCTATAATATTATATTTTGTTTTATATTTTTGCCATTATATTTTTTGCAATTATCATGTCAGCTTTTAAATAAAATAATTATATTTTCCTATATATTTTTTTATATTGTAATTTTTGTTATCTAGACTTGCTCATATTTGATTTAATTTTTTGTAATAGCTCATAATGACCCGAAATAATACTTAATAATAATATTGTAATTCTATATCTGAGATCAAATTAAAAATCTACATTCTATTATAAAAACGATTAAAATTAAATTAATTTTTCTTAATTTTCCTAATTTAGTTTACTTTTGCGAATATCTAATGTCGGGCCATTAAGAGTATGTGCTCCTTTTTAAAATTTAAGCTAATTTAATTTAATTTTTCTTAATTTCTAATTCAGATTTTGTTTTTTTACCTGCATTTTTTCGTTGAAGACCACCCCGGTGTGGCGGTGGTGAAACGAAAGAGTCCGGGTTCACCGGTTCCCAGGGCGTGCTAACTTTGCTAAAACACGTATGACACAATCGACATTTTCAGATTGCGACTGTTCATGTGGTATGCATGCCTTGTTGACGTCAGATTTGCAGGAACGTCCCAAGGATGCCTATGTACCCTCCGTCGCCCGCAGCAGCAGCTGCCCAAACTCGGACACGGCGCCGCTGTCGAAAGAGGCGAAAGACCTTAAAGGGCCGTACCTTCTGGTTCCAGGTACAACTTAGGCCAGTCCATCCGCTAAGCAGCCTTGGATTGCGGTGCTTTCGTGGCTTTTCTAACCACACCTGACCGGAACAACCCACTAACAACTACAACATGCGTGTATTGACAGCCTCGCAAATTATTTCTAATTGCTTTTTAAATTGATACAAAAAACGCCCACAGTTTATTCAATTGCGGTGAGATTTATTACTTAATAAGTCGAATATTTCTTTTAAATATCTCGAATATAATATTAGAATGACAGCTTGCGATACTATTATAAATTTGGGAGGCAATCGATACGTTTAGCTATAACTTAGTATGATATGATTGTGTATCATAGTGCGTGGTGAAAATTCGAGCGAGGGTCGAGACAATCTCGATCGTCGTTGGATCTGTCACACGTTGAATTTTTACATCATGGTCATTTCCCAACTGCCTGATGTTTCTTGGTGATTGTCTTGTTCAGTAATTATCAATGTAAAATATTTGGCATCGTCAAGACTATTCATCGTCTTCATTGTGTCATCCATCCCCTTTGTTCTTCGGAGCTCAAGCCGGTCGAAAATTTATAACTTACCAGCGTTTTTTTCTTTTATTAGACGAATTTGGCATACCCCACGTGGTGGGATTCACAACGTGGTTCGCGATGTGTCCGCTAAAAGGTTAGCTTATCAGGTGGTTTATTCTCGATTCTACACGAATTTGCACAAAAAAGTTCTACTTTCTCACTCGTATCTTTCGTCTATTCTAAAGTCTCTTCTCTTTCGTGTCTCTACCACGTAAGTGATAGAAAACAACTTACTCCGGTCTCTCGTCGATCCTGCCTTTTACTATTTTAGCTATCTTAATGGAACTATAATTGTTTAATGTGTAAAATGCACAAGAATTTCAACTATAAGGACACCACTTCATCTAGAGATACGCGACACAGGAATCTCCTAAAAGATGATACATGTCGTACGAAAATTCGAAGCTTTATAAAACAATTTGCGATTGTTTTCGCACATTCAGTAACATTGATTCAATTTATGACAGATACTAATTTTTAATTTTTATAAACACGTGTCCTTATTGATGAGCGCAAGATTTAATTATTTGCAGCAGACAATGCGTCTGATCTATCACGGTTGCAACTACTGCGGCCAATTCTATCTCTCGAATATACTAGAATATACTGTGTCCTGGTTATTCCCGGCATTCACACCGGAAATGAAGTTGATCGTGATTACCAGTCTCATGCGATATAACAACTCTATGAGAAGTGAATTGCGGTTTTCGAGCATGGTTTATATTCTCATTATGCATTTAGCATTAAATGCGGTTGTCTGATTATCATTTCCCATTAATATTAAATGTTCAATTCAAGCAAGTAAGCCGCATTAAATGTGCGATGATAACACGGAGAATTTCAACACATTTGCAAATTATAGATTTATTTTCGAGCGAACGTGACATTATTAGAGAACTCATCGTTCGCGATTCATTATCCATTGATCAACATGCACGTTTCTTCGTTGACAACTTAGGCCAACGTTTGTAATTCCGATCACGAGGCATGGATCTTTCGTTGTAATCGTACTAGGTGCACGTAATTCGATGTAAACCCTATTCTACTATATATTTATTACACAATTGTGCATTTGTGACTCTCAGTGTTATAATCGAATAATTCATATCTTCTTAGTATCCTAATTAACTCGTAACTAATTATTTTCTTTAACATGCAAGAATAATTATGATTTTCTCTTTAATATTATTATTTTAAAACACATTATATTTTGTAAAACGTAAGAAAATTAATATTAAATGTTGCGAATGTTTATAATCGTCATAAAATTATATCTTTAGGAATTTTTTCGGTAATTAACGGAGCGTATCTCCAAATGTCGAGAGAATTCCTGGGTTATTTGAATTTTACGACTGTTGCGAAACGTGTTGACAAATATATGGAAATGAAGCGACGATTTAAAACATCGAAAACGCAGTAGAGCTTGCGACGAAATCGTTCGAGAAATTTTCCCGACATCGTTTAATTTATCGTCGCCATTCTTGTCCTTGACGTTTCGCGCGTGCTTTTTATATAAAAATAGAAACAATTGCATGCACAATTCTCTCTCTTTTTTACGATGCAATCAACACACGCGTATGTACATGAAATATACCGGAATTAAACTATTTGTTCGCACGCGATAATTCCTTTTCCAGATCAAATCTTGAGATTAAGATTGAAAGCGACGCATATAATAAAGCAATTACTTTTAATCTCAATTACGAATATTCAGTTATTACCATCAAACTATTTACGCGATGATAAATAAATATATCGAATTGTATGTATATATATAATTTAATAGATGGTATATATCTTATTATAAAAATCATCGCGTTTCTTGTGTCGAAGACGCAGATTACTATGCATTTGAAAAAGGATTCTGAGCTCGAAAACACTCGCGAATTACCGCGACGGCGGGTCATTCTCTCCTGCCTATTTTCGCACCTTCCTTTGTAAATAAAAGATCCTGGTGTTGTGTTTCATGCTCATTTTTAGTGGAGGAATCGAATTCCGCTCCGGCAATCGCCGGCGCAACAAGTCATGGCAGTGGAGCAGCGCTGAATGTTGGTAGCCGCTTCCTTACGATACCCGGCAATCCCGGTAAACCGCTTTTCTCTGTGTTTGACGCTTTATTACTCACACACTTTCACACACTCGCGAACCTACATTAATCCGTAGTGAAACGCCACACGTACACGTAAATTAATTTGCAGTGGCAATTATCCGCGCTGTTTGTGTGCACGCGACAAATGAGAAACCATCGTGAAATCGGAACAGCTTGTTATTGGAACGCGGAAGACTTAACGAACCTTGTTCCGCTTGCGACAAATTATCTTTAATCGCGCCGCGAGGGGTCTTTATCGCAAATAACGATGGCCAGCTCGCAAAACGCACCAGGCGTCATTATTTCTCTTGGCATTTCGTAAAACTAGCCAGATTCAACGTAAAAATAAAAGGTCACTTTCCGCGATTTAATTATTTCTTCATAGACCATATTTGTGTGCTAATTATTTGTTATAAATAATCAAAAGATAATCAAGATTAATTAATTGGCAAAGAAAAATAACAAAATATATTTCTTAAAATCTTTCTTGCTTATTACAAAAATTACTGTTTTATGTAAATATAAATATATACGGCAAATGAATAGCATATGTTATTTATATTTTGTACTAAAAAGAATATTGGAAAGACTTTAATAAAAAATATTTTCTTATGCATGTCATGCATTAAAGTGCGAAAGAATTATTCAAGAAATGTCTGAGCGTGTATTAAGATTAATAAGATTATTTATTTGCGCAAGATTGTCATATAAATATAGAAATTGGATTATCTCTTTTTATCGAATATTATCGAAGAAATGATATGGGATATTATTGCAAATGATTGTCAATAACCGTTCTTGACATTTGATGCGAAGGTCGAGTATTACTTTAAGAATACTACTTCTGTTACGATAGGCTTTGATCAAATAGAGATTCATTTAGTCAAATAAATCGGTTATTATATTGATTTCACGCATTGACAAGATTCAAATTTGATTACAAATAAATTAATATGACCACTTTCCGCGATTATATTGAACCGCTTAATGAACATCGGTGCGATTTAATATTAAATTTAATCTGTCTGTATCGTTATAATTAGTCATATCTTTTTCTCGATTATTATTGATTTTAATCAGATGATTTAAACGGCTGTTTTGTACATTATACATAATAGTTTCAATCTTGATGAGAATTTGGTTAATGTATTTCATAAGATAATATGTTTCGCAAGAAAGCATATTTAATTTATGAAATTCAAAGGCAATTGCAATATCGGATTATTACGAATAAAATAAAACTATACATATATTGGATCATTGATTGTTCATAGTTATGCAGGCATAAAAATTAACATCCTCGTTTACGATTGAAAATTGCTAAAAATATACGTTCTTCCATTAAAACTTTTAATGAATATTTCATATCATTATAAAAGATACAAGTTTCAATCTTATGAAGACGCAGCTTTGTGAACCTGCTATTTATTCAGAAGAAACTTTTATCTCAAGATATCGTTTATGAAATAAATGTCGAAATGGCATAATTAGTTTTGTAATGTTTTTAATTAATATCGTTTTAATCTAAGAACCCCGTTTAAACTCAGAAACCCGTTATCTTTAAAATATTTATTCTGCGAAAATAAAATATCTTACATTTATAACTGTTAATAAATGCAGATCAATTTTTTTGGAACTTTCACTTACTTTCGGTTATTTTGCAAACATACTAGTGAATGGCAAATGTGCAGGCAAATTTTATAAAGAGATAAAGACGCGTCCTTATTCTTTTTGATTCTCTGCGGGAAACTGTCTTAAAGCGGAACGTGTTGTTTTAGAACGAGTGGCTATGAAATTCAAACAGCACAAAATTGCAATTTAACTCGGACGTGCGAGAATTAGTGACGCATGGGCGGATAAAAGCCATGACAAGGGGGTTGCACCGATTCAATTTATGCGTAAAAATGCAGTAGGCAGTAAGCTAGATCTCTTTCAGGCCAAGAACCAGGCAGCAATGGTATGGACCGAAGTCCCAGCAGCATATCCATCAGCAGGAATCACAGCTCTTCTGCATTGGAGAATGGAGATGCTAATCATAGGGTTGGTAGATATATTATTTGGATATTATATTTCTAACAATGGATACAATTTCAATGTAGTTCAATGTAAATGCCTCACAATGTGATAAATATGATATTTAATTTCAATCATCAGATATAGCTTTGGAGTTATTATGACTAAATCATTGATAAAAAAAGGCTATGTAATATACAATTTAACTTCGAAATATCGAAATTTAATTTCGAAAATATCGAATCCGATTATTATAATCGCCTAATTATTTTTCGATCTTTTTTTTTATCAATAATATCAGATAAACGAGAAATTATTTTACTTTCTAACTTTCGCAAATCTCGTTTCTTTGACGAATAGTTTTGTATGAGTTTTTCCCCTTTAATATTAAGGTCGGCCCTTTGTTAAGTAACGCGAGCAGAGTTTAACCCGAGCAACTTTAACTCTATTTTCTCATTAGGGTAATACGCACTTTATGAGAAAGATACCAGCCGGTGCCGAGGCGAGCAACATACTCGTGGGTGAAGTCGATTTCCTCGACAAAACTTTGTCCGCATTCATCCGACTAAGTCAGGCTGGGATAATGGGTGACCTGACAGAAGTTCCTGTTCCGACAAGATTCATCTTTGTTCTTTTAGGACCGATGGTAAGAACTTTATCGAAATTACAAACCATGTGAGCAAAACATAAAAAATAAAATACGATCGCGATCATTTCAGATACCACTTCGAACCACTTAAAACTGCGTTAATTGTGCAAGAATCTCTGTAATAAAACGAGAATATCGCGAGGATATCGCATACGATATCGTATACGATATTTCGTTTTAATTAAATTGCACGTTACACGTGCGAAAATAATACAAAACATTTAATTCACACTCTGCAATATTCCAATTGATTGATACGAATTTCTCTTGCCATCTCTGATCAAAAATCTCGCAATTATTATAAATTTTCTTTCTTTTTATATAAAGTTAGATAAATTGAAATGCGATCAAACTTAGCAATTTATTAAGCTTTTCCTATTCTCTTCGAAAATAATAAGAAGAAATAGCTTTCTACAATAAAGAAACAAAATAATTTTAAAGTTATTATTTTCACTTTCCTATAAACTTTTTCAAAAAGTGAAATAAGTTATTTTGAAGATTATAAATTTGAAAGTGTTGCACGATTTTTATACGAATGTCACATATATTCAGAAAAAGTTACAGCACATATGCTGAGGGCGAGTGTTCACGATGTTTGAAATATCAAAACATCAATATAGCGCGTATCGCAAATAAAACGCTGGCAACTGTGATTATATCAAATAAAATTGCCGTACATGCAAGTGCAGTAGCCATTAACGAATTCCTTGACATGTTTCTGAATCGTCAATTATCCGCACGAATCAATATCTACTCGGCTATTACAGTTGATATCAACTGTTCATCAGACAATCGCGCTCGACCTCGAATAGAAGTCTAAAAAAAGAGTATAACCAGTCCGAACCGCCTTTAAATTGTGCAAGGTCTTCTCTCTTCGTGTTTACATATTACATATATATTCGCACGTTTATCTGAACGTCAATTTAAGACTCGTCGAAAAGGCCGCTTTCACTAACACAACGCGGCAATTAAACCTTCAATAAAGCAGCCATGCATACTGATTGTGTTTGCTGACTATTGTCTCGAGAGATCTATATGCAAAGTAATTTAGTTTCGGCGCAAATGCAATTTAAACACGATCACGTGTTTATTACAATTTAACATGCGACAACTTTGCATATGTTTCTTCGTACAATTCCAAATATGTGCATATGTTTGCTTTTAAATTTAAATGTTTTTATCATTTGCTATTGATATATAATGTGCCGGTGATAAGAAATTAGGTCTGTTCATAAAATAATGTTCTGTAATTTGCGTATCAATGATGTGCAAGATAAGAATAAAGAATAGAATATCATAAAATTATATTAATATTAAAACAAGTCATTGAAAATAAATTGAACAATGCGCGCAAATATAGTATTATTTATATAATATGAATTTAATTTCTAATTAAATATAACATCGGATATGACGAAATTGTAATATTTATAATATTTGCTTATATTTTATATTGCATGAATTGATCAGGGCGGGAATTCGGGTTTTCACGAGATCGGTCGGGCTATGGCGACCTTGATGTCCGACGAAGTCTTCCATGACGTGGCTTACAAAGCGAAAAACAGAAATCATCTCTTAGCTGGGATCGATGAGTTCCTAGACGCCGTGACGGTATTACCGCCCGGTGAATGGGATCCGGCAATCCGAATAGAACCACCAGCTGCTATACCATCACAGGTGAGAATAGTCTCAAGCAGAAATAAAAGGCGATAAAATATTCTTTCTTGCTATATTTACAGCAATAGATTGTCCAGACAATTGAAGTCATTAAAATTAAAACTGATTTCAACTTTTAACTTTAACGTACGCGTTCAAAAACTATTCGTTTCTTCTCAATCGCGACTTAATTTGATGTCCTTAGGAAGTCAGGAAGAGGCCCAAGGAGGAAAAGCCTAAGGAAGACTTCGACGAGGAGGCTGATGAACAGAAGCTGAGGGAGGAGTCGGGTCTTTCGAGATCCGGAAAATTATTTGGAGGATTGATTAATGACATTAAAAGGAAAGCTCCGTTTTATTTATCTGATTTCAAAGACGCCCTGGCGCTTCAATGCGTAGCGTCTTTCATCTTCTTGTATTTCGCTTGTTTGTCGCCAATAATTACCTTCGGTGGACTGCTCGGTGAGGCTACTGGGAAGCACATGGCCGCGATGGAATCACTAGTCTCCGGTTTCGTTTGTGGCATAGGATATGGGTTCTTTTCCGGCCAACCCCTAACTATACTCGGTTCTACCGGCCCGGTTTTGGTTTTCGAGACAATCGTCTATGAATTCTGCAAGTGAGTCTCAAGAGAAATTGATCCAAAATTTTACTAATAATAGCTCTTTACAGTGATAAATCTCCTCTAAAATTTAGCATCCTAACTTTCCTCAAAGATAAAGGATATTAAATATAAATTTTTTCTCAGCAACACATCTTCTTTCTTCGCGGATTTCAAGATAATTTGGTCAGATTGTTATTCTTCTTGCAGAAAGGTCGACTGGAATTATATGTCTTTTCGCTTCTGGATCGGCACATGGATAGCCTCGATTCTACTCATCCTCGTGGCTCTTGACGCGAGTGCTTGCGTCTGTTACATCACTCGATTTACAGAGGAGAATTTTGCAACTCTCATCGCCTTCATCTTTATCTATAAGGTGAGAAAAATCGTAACAGCATCTATCATATATCATAGATAGATATTTTATATCAATAAATCTTTCGAAATTTTTTTCATCGTTTTAAAGTCATTAAAGAAATCGCAAAAGATAATTATTTGAATTTTTTTACAATTTAGCATGAAACTATTTTTACTATTTTTTTATTATTAAACTATTATTTATTATGCAAATTATAGAAGTGAGAAAATGAGAGATAATTTATCATCAGCAATTATAATATTTATTGTACTAATCAAAAATTTTTCATATTAAAAGAGATGTTATGATAGTACTCTAATTTATTATTAAGCGTATCAATATCATTTTAGGCTATCGAGAATGTATTGTCGATCGGCAAGAAATATCCTTTGAATACCTATTCAAGCGAAACATTGGACTACAATTGCTGGTGCAAATCACCAAACATCAGTCTGCCATCCAGTTATGATAACGTGAATTGGACGACATTGGATAAAACAGCTTGCGAGGTAAACAACATACAATTATTTTCTATTTATAGTTCTGTTTAGCTAGAAAACAACAAATAATTTCGTTGCATTAGAACTTTTGAGATCTGTCGACATTGAATGCACTTTAATTAATAAACTCTATCAACAAAGATATCAATATGACCTTTATTTTTTCTAGTTTATCGCGTGCATTTCGTTATAAAAATTGTACTCTTTTAAATAATTCGTTTGATATCTCTGCAATTGTGAACGGTAAGAAACGCAAAAGAAATGTCAAAGATATACACAAACATCTCGTTATGTTCAATCACAATCATCAAACACGTACGTTTTTTCTAGTATATCCTTTTTGAAAAATTACAAGTTCCTGCGAGCAACTAGATTACTAGGTTCAGAATCGGAGAGAAAATACGCTCTTGGTTATGATTTCCCTTTGGCATCTTGTTCATTATTGCTTCTTTCAGAATTACAATGGTACGATGGTGGGCGACGGCTGCAACGCACCGCATTATGTACCCGATGTGTTCCTCATGTCAATTATTCTATTCATAGGCACGTTCTTATTGTCAATCGAGCTCAAGGATTTCAAGAACGCTTTATTTTTCCCCTCGAAGGTAAACATAAAATAAAATTGAGAAGATAAACATAAAATAAAATTGAGAAGAATTTTAAAAATAATCAACGTATCAAAACTTTAGCTTTCTAATTAAAGAAAATAGTTTCAAAATTCATCATTACTTTTATATTTCAAATTTTCCTATAGTGACCATTAATCGTCATATATTTAATATAATTATTAATATTAAATTATTAAATTATTAAATTATTAAATAATATATTTAATATGATATTATACATATTAACTGTATTTATGGATGCTTCTTAATTTCATTGTTGATATCTCAACATAATTACATTTCTTCTTCATATCAAAAATCCAATAATTTATTTTCATGTCTAGTACACGAATTTATTTCTTAATATCCTGTTATTATTTCAGGTAAGACAAGTGGTGAGCGACTTCGCAGTAATAATCGCAATATTCTCTATGAGCACATTGGATCATTTCGTGGGCATCCCAACGCCAAAGTTGGAGGTACCGGCAGAGTTCAAACCAACGTTAGAAGAACGAGGATGGATAATTTCGCCTTTTCAGCAAAATCCATTGTGGAGTGCTATTATCGCATGCCTCCCCGCTTTATTGGGCACTATATTAATCTTCATGGATCAGCAAATCACAGCCGTTATTGTTAATAGAAAAGAGAACAAATTAAAGGTGAGCGATTACGCTTGTTGAAATATTTCTATTTATTCTCAAGTATTACGTGAATGCGTAATAAATTAAATGACAATTAAAATAGTAAGATATAACTGACGGTTCACTATGACATCGATCAATAATTTCGTTAATATTTATTTTTCTTTACAGAAAGGATGCGGATATCATCTGGACCTCTTCATTCTGGCGATTCTTATCCAGATATGCTCGGTGATGGGACTTCCATGGTTCGTCGCAGCGACGGTCCTCTCCATAAATCACGTGAACTCCTTGAAGCTAGAATCTGAATGCGCTGCGCCGGGTGAGAAGCCGCAATTTTTGGGTGTTCGCGAGCAGAGAGTTACTCATGTATTGATTTTCCTGATGATCGGATGCTCGGTGTTCCTAACACCAATGTTGAGGAATATACCGATGCCGGTGTTGTTCGGTGTCTTCCTGTACATGGGCGTCGCGTCGTTGAAGGGTCTCCAGTTCTTCGATAGAATTCTGATTATGCTGATGCCCGTCAAATATCAACCAGATTACATGTTCCTTCGGCAGGTAAGAAAAAGATTGAATTTCTCAGCTTTATATATATTTTCCTTTTAATAAAAAGATTCAAAAAATTAAATTTAAGATACTTGGCAATCAAATATTATTTCTATCGTTTTACTTCCAATATTTTAAAACAAATATATTTTTTTAGGTGCCATTAAAGCGCGTACATATGTTCACTGTAATCCAGCTTGCCTGCCTCGCCTGTTTATGGATTATAAAATCTTTCAGTTCTACTTCTATCCTATTTCCCTTAATGGTGAGTAATTGGGAGTTGAGGATGTTCCATCGGTTCGTAATTTTAAAACTTACATTAAAATAATTAGAAACAGCTACTAAGAACATTAATTTGTATGTTACGAATGGAAGAGAAGTAATCAATTATATTTATAAAACCTAGAGCTAGTTAATCTTTTAGATAAATCAATTAATCTCGCTAGAGTTTGCAACGATTACAGGTTTGTCTCAAATTTTACAGCTCGTGGTAATGATTGGCATCCGTAAATCCCTGGATCTGATGTTTACGCAACGCGAGTTGAAGATCCTCGACGATATAATGCCGGAAACGAGCAAAAAACACGCCGAGGAGCTTCGGAAACTGGAGAATGGCGAGGTTAGCACTGCGACACGAATATTAAACGCCATCACTTGTCGCAAATAGCATACAAACGGTGATCACCTGGCGAATGCTCGCCCCGTGGTCACTATAACTCTCTCCGACTTTGGGGAATCCGCCCTTTGCAGAGAAAACGACATGTATACCACGTGCGATCGGAACGTCACCTAAAACGAATCAGTTTTTCGTCGCTGCGTAAAGACCAGATTCGAGTAAAGACATATAATCTAGGATATAGTTTAATTTGAAGTGCATTATATCATATATATGCAGAATAATTTAAGAGAGCCAATTCGGGCTTTAATAATTTTAAAAAAACGGGTGGACCAATGTGATATATATATATATAAATATATTTCTACGCAAAACGTATACTTTTTACGATTATTGTTGCATCAAAACAACTCTTTACTCTTTTCTGGTTGAGAATTTCGCAAAGGACGCTTTATCGCCTGAACACATCAAGACGACGAGAATGGTATCATGCAAACATTTCGAAAACGCACACAGACTGTTTTCAGTCCGCAAAATTTTTTTTTTCTTTCGAAGCACGAAAGGATTTGCCACTTTATGAAAATACTCGTTGCCTGTCAAACACTTTTACGCGTCGAATTTTTCATTCGATATTCTTTCAACGACTCAAGATTTCGGTCTCGAAAGCCATCCTCTCGTCTTCCATCCAGCATATGTGCCAAACAATTCTTAAATCCAGGTGGCTTACCGACCAGTATTAAAGTAAATGTAATAATAATCGTTGTTGAATTTTTGAACACGGTAGACTTTTGGATACCGCAATCTTAAATATTTGTATCGATAGCGTTGTTGTTGTAGCCAAATTAGGATAATGTGTTGAATGCTGATCGTTTCTGCGAACGCTTCTCGAATACGTCGACGGCTGTCCGAAATTTTATTTTGCGCAAACCACATTTCGCTCCAGATTACCGATTATTCTTCTATGATGAACACGTTATTCTATGATGCATAATGCTCTTTGTTTGCTATTTATAATTTTAGGCGAATTTAAAGTAGAAATATAAAACTCTGAGAGATTTTGTTACAATATAATGTAATCGCGAGAATAAGTAATATTATGGTATAGTCATGTAACGTAGGCAGGATATTTCAAACTGTAATAAATTGTTAACAATTAAGTTAAGGAAAATTATTATTGCGAGATAAGCAATATTTTACTGGTTCATTTGAATGATTTAAAAATGTGTAGCGCTTCTTCTATATTATATTTTAATAATATAGTAAACTACAAAAAATAAATAAAATTACAATTAGTTCACCATAGAAGAATATATATACATATATTTATTACATCGCGCGCGCGCAAACAGAGATTTTTTTAAATCACAGTTAATCGACTATATATATTATTAAATACATAGCAGGTTGTCGACTATCTAAAAGGTATCAACGAAGATATTTATCGAGTAGCGATCGACGCATCACGATCAATATCACGACTCGGTGAAACGAAAGTTTCGTATCTCCTGCATTTAATACATCGCCAAGTCGTTGATATTTCTCTGTGGACCACTCTTGTATCGATTCGATGCGCCGTCGTACATACAATTTCCACTTATCTTATCATGTAAAAATACATTATTGTTTCGAAATACGGAACCCTTTTATAATTTCAACATCTCCTAAGACAATTAACGATTTACGTAATTTGAACTTGCTTGAAAGTTTCTTTAGTCAAATTTACAATAATGAAGTATCAAGATTTTAATATAATTTGAAAATTATTACTAAGTAATATAATAATAAAAAAATTTGAAGTACATAATAATAATATTTATAATAAATGTCGTTGAATTTTTTTATATATATATTTTATAAAATTAGCCTTATTTTTTTGCTGTTTTAATTCTAGTTCAATTTTTTTATTTATTTATGTGGGTAATACATTATATTTTTATAATTTAAATATAGGCTAATGTGTTTAACAAAAATCTCGAATTTTTAATAAAAAACTAAATTGTAGAAATAATAATTTACTATGATCAATTCCAATATTAAGAGAAGATTTTCTTCAATATTAACTTTATTCTCCAAGTATCAATGTTAATCAGAGATAGATATGTTAATGTCAAAAATAGATGACAAAAAGCAATTTTTCCATATAAGTAGTTGAGTTAAAATTTTATTCCGCGATTTCAGAAAATTTTCAATAAAACTTGGATTAAAACTTAATTTATTAATTCAAAAATTTATCAAATTTAACATATTGATAACTTGAAAATTATACAAGGATAAATATAAGCAGTAACTAGATACAGATATATAAAATGACGTAATTATTGTGTTTAATTATTTATATAATGCGATAAAATAATATCAATAAGAAAATAATACTTTTTCTAATTACGTATTTCTTAACGCGAACGAATAATTAGATGAGTCGTCGCACTGTATAACAGTCGACAACTGTGCGTTCGTTGTTAACAATGCAATTAAAGACGGAATAACCGAGACCGGAAGCACCATGACTCACGGAGGAGAGTGACGATTCAACGAGAGAAAATGAGAGAGCGACCGAAAGAAATCACAAGCCGGACAAACACGGAATATCGGTACAGAAATCGCAAACGAAAAAAACCGTCAGTCGTCGAATCCTCCGCCTGTCATCGGTACGTCACTATAAGTGCACGTCCGTAGTTTTGCCGCATAGCGACTATCATATATCTATATTCTTTTATCAGCAAGCGAATCAAAATTCAGCGAATTATCTCTTATACCCGTTACACGTTATTCAACGAAGAGAGGCGCTTTTCGGGACGTTGACGATTCTGTGAGTCGATTTACGCATCGAATACGCACCGAATTGCGCGTCGGATGCGTTTCAACTGCAATCATGTCAATCACGCGCCGCTAAATCGATCGCAATGGCATGTTACAAATTTTCCGCGTTTCGCATGACGACAGCGATGATTTATTGTAGCTTATGCTCGGTTGATTGTCAAAAGAGGTCATATTTAAAAAAAATTGTTTGTATTATTAAATACAAAGGAATATTGATTAATATTAAATTAATAATGTATGCATTTACGCATACACAGACCCTTTTATTCATTCATTCTGAATAATTTAATATAATTGCAAACGCGTGTTAATGATACATATTCTCTTTAAAGTATAAGCATCAATATCGTTGCTATCTCAATCAATAAAACCGTAACCGATCGTTATACGCGGACAGAATAATATCTCATTATTTATATTACGCGAGGCAAGCAGAACCATTGTTATAATACATATATACATTTGTACACATCTATTTTATAGAGAATCATTTTTCTCAAATCACACAAAACTGATTCCATTTGTCATGGGCTCGTCGCACTAATTTTTCAGGTGCATTTTTTCTTTTAGGTTTATCTACATATAAAGAGTCATACTCTTACGAATTAATTTCTAGCGTTATACGCGAGTTCCCTCTTTTGTCATTATTACTTCCCTTGTGTACATCTATAATTTATTGTCACGTATAATTGACTAGTTCATGAAACATGCTGGCAAGCAGCATCTGACATCATGCCTGCTTCCCAGCAATTTAAAGGCAACGCAAAGTTTGCTTGAATTTCTGCATGGCCTCTGGTAGAAATCAATCGCGTATCAACATCGATACTCACTATCGTTTAATTCATTTCACAGGATCCGACCGAGACGATGGGATATGGACCACCGGGAAATATTCAAATTTCTTTGGCTAATGGGAATATCATGAAGATTCCTCTAGCGAGTATCAATATCAGCGAGGAGGTGAATAAGACCGGTATCTGGCAACAGGTCAACGAAGGCAACGAAAAATTAAAGCAATCAAAATCACTAATCAAGTAGGTATCGAATTTCGAACAATTGTACATAACGTTGCAAAGATTAAAGCAGGATATATAAAATCAAATAAGATATGAAAAGTGGAACAAAAATTATTTCGTTGTCTTCTTATTTTTATTTCAGTTTTTTTCAATAATAATACTTTTTATAATGTATTACATTTTGTTCCTTATATTTTATATTCTTATATTATATGTATATTTTTTTGTGTATATTATTATTTTTTTTTATTTGGTTTTAAAGTGCATGCAAGGATGTTTTTATGAAAAACCTTTTTCAAGATTGTGCAATAATCTATCCATAGTTGATCAAATATCTTACTTATATATTCATATAAAAAATCAATGCAAAAATTACGTCGATATAAAATTTAGATATCGAAAGAAGAGAGCCGAAAGCGAATAAACAATTATTAAAATATCATGAAACAAAAATATCAGGGATATTTTCTCTAATATTTTCCTAGCAATAAATATGAAAATTCTAATGTTTTTCAAACGGAGAAACCGGAAGTTAATATGAAGACTATTAATTGTAGAAAATTATTATATAATTATTTGACGCATAGTGTAGGAAAACAAAAGAAGCATCCGAAGAAGGACATCTCGCTGTTGACCGATGAGACAACGAGACTGACGACGATGACCGAAGAAGACGAAGATGACAGTGGAATCTCTATCAAGGTGACAAACGTAAATGACTCTAAATTCTAACTACCATCACCATCACCAAAAACCGACAATTCATATGGCAAGACACACAGCAAGAGCACCAACATACCGGCATGCAACATATCCTATGCACCGCCGCTGTGAGTAAACTTACAAACGAGGACGGCATGACCAGCCCTCGTCGAGTCGACGTAAAAGCGAATTCAAACGTGGACGACTCGTCGTAGAAAAAATAGATTTTCATAGACGACAAGAATGTGATGAGAATCTTTTATCATGTAACAACGATGTGCCCATGTACATGAAATATTAATTCGCGTAATGCATGCAATTCTACGTGACTTAGAGTATTTAGATTCCAAGCTTTATTTTATATTGTATATTTATAAAAGCTTCATTGTATAATTAAACCATGTATAAAGAAGAGAATTTTTTTATGTTTATTGTTACTAGTCTATCAAATTTGTCACTATGTTATATATGTTTCATTCTTTTCATAGCAATTTTATATAACAACATAATCGTCTATGAGATTCAGCTTTGCTTATAGAAATATAGAAATATATATGCACGTATTCTGCGTTGATTTATGCACCGAAATAATTAAACACTGATTGAGAAGACGTTACATGTAGCTCTAGACTCATTTCTCATTCACAAAAGTTCCATTTTCCATTTAAATTATTTATTATGTGTACAGTAGTTAACTTTATATGTATTTTGTCATATAAAAAAAGGTAATCATAGAAAATAATCGAAGAAGGATGTAAAGTGCGAATTTAAGAAGAAATAAATTGATATAACGTTTTCTCTTCTTGTAAGATGGAATGAAAGCATCTATAATTGCATGTTTCTTTCTTTTTTTTCATTATATTAGCTACCTTTTTTACCGTTGCATGAACATTAAAAACTACTTTTTTCATTATTTCATTAATAAAATTATATCCATAAATAAAAGAAAAAATGAAGAAAAGAACAAATGTCCAATTTGTCAAAAAAATTCTCATTTTAATAAATTTATTAAAACCAATTTAAAGCCAATTTATTAAAACTATTCGGAAATTTTTTTAAATAAATATATATATATATATATATATATATATATATACACACTATATATATATGTATATATATACATATATATATAGTATCTACACACACAGTGCTATCTTTATCTTTATACTACTTTTTTCTTTAGTTTTACATTCTCTTCTCATAATTATTGTAATCAAATGAATAATTATGAAACAACTTTTAATTATACATATAACATGTTTAATTGTTCGAATTCTTTAAATTTATAGAAACTCTTATGAATGATAGCAAAAAATAATTCAATACATATCTTGTTAGAAAAATTTCAGGAAAGATATATCAAAGCAAATTTTAAATACAACAATGCTCGAATTTTAAAAAATAACGTTGCTTGAAATTAATGAACGTTTTTTAATTCAATTATTTCAGGTAGATTTAATACGATCCAAGGAAAGCATCAATTCTTTAAAAGCAAATGGTACTACCTCAGCCGAAACTTCCGTTTAATAAGAAGACAGCAGAAATGAATTATTAAATATATATTAGTGCGGCATATAATTATTATTAATTTATTATTAATTTTATTATTAATCATTTCATTTCGATACTGTTTCTCTTTCTATAACCTCTATTCTGATCTCATAAATCACCATTGAACTGACGATTTGAAATGATAATTATGTCTAATTTCCCAAATATGATTATCCTTATCCAAAGGGATATCTATAAAAAATAAACATTATCATTATTTTTTATTAATTGTCTCTTTAATGTATTATATTTGTATTATATTTAGCGAACAATGCGTGCGTCGAATTTCGCGATCCTCTGCGATTTATACTCAATTGTAAATGAGATTCTCTCTGATCATACACATTCTAACAATGTATATAGAACAATTCAACAAGATTCGCTAATAGTGTCCAATTGTGATTTTATGAAATATTTCCCTCTCGATATTAGTACAGGTTGCTAAAACCGTTTGATGTTCATATAAAAACAATTATAAAGTATGTGGGAACAGAAGAGACAACGTATATCTATATTCTTTCTAATAATTATTTAATAAATAATTCTTTTTTATTAATTTAATCATATACCAGGAGAGACCATAAGAAGAATTCTAAAGTTCGAAAAAATTCTTTGAAATAATAAGGCGTACGATAAAACATGTTTCTATGTTTAGTGACGACAGAATGTAAAATATAATATACTTCTATATTATTATATATCTTTCTTTAAACGATATACACGATTTGAATTAATAAGATTTATATGATTTATATAAGCCAATAATAATAGTATATCTATGCTAGAAATTCATGAAGGGACGCACATTTTTCCAAATTGCGACACTAAACAAACATATACATGGCATTTATAAAATATAAGAAAAATTACATAATACAGTTCGAGTTTTCAATCACGGCCCGTGAAGAATTTATTCAAGCTTTAATCTATTCAAATATTCATATAATTAATACCAATAATTTTCATTATCGATCATTATCATAGATTGACATGTATGAAATAAATTATAATAAATAAAAGTAATGATAAAAAGTGATGCAGATTATATTATATCATGATGCAGATATCCAAACTGTACAATTCCAATTATTCGAATATTTGAATATTGACAGATAGAGTTTGACACATAGCTTTAAGTTCATCGTAACAACATCTAATTATGTAAATCATAGAAAAAATATATAAGAATATCGTATTACCGTGCAATAATATATTTCTGCGTGTAGATATAGTAGTTAAAGTAACTTTACAATCATGCCAAACAAACCCCACAATATATACGTTAATCATATATTATACATATGCTTCCTTTGAGGGATCTGGCAAGTGAATATGGTACGTACTAAAAAAAAATCCGGCAACTATCGCTTGTTAAGAAAGCATTTAAATCATCTATTTATCATCTAATTCAATACTATCGACCAAAAATTATTGAAATTGTTGTGAACCAAGGGTCGGTTGTACCAACGTTATTTTGGCTTTAAGCGAGACTTAAATATATGTCTATCTTTATCTTTCTTTCTAAATAAAGACATATATTTAAGTTTCGCTTAAAACTAAAATAATGTTGGTGCAACTGGGCCTAAGAGTAAAAGAAAGAAACTGTTATGTTTACAAATTAATAATTATTCTTTACTCCTAAATGATACAATGATACGACTTCTTCTGTTCCGAAATACTAATATTGTGCAATTTTTGAACAGGGAACTTTTTCCGCGTATATTCGTTCGTAGTTGAAATTAGTTATTATATATATAGTAAATTATTTTTTTTATTGATATTTTAAGATAAAAATTTTATTTTAGACAAAAAATAAATATCTTTGTTATTTTATAAAGTTCTAGATTATAGCTAAAATTTCATGCAAACTAAATTTTAAAATTTTATTTTCATGACTTTTTTTATATTTGGATACGCCCACCTAGTCATCAAAGACAATATATACATTTTAATCATAGTAAAATTAATTTCTTTGTTGCAATGAAAATTTTACGTACTATAAAAAATATAGATGCAATATGTAATGTCCTATAAAGTAAGATACAGTAATAAAAAGCAATTTCTTGAAGAATAATCAATGTTATTCGTGATTAAAGAAGAAAAATATAACTGGATTCATATATCCTATGATATATAATAATTATGCGACAATTCTTACCACTTTACTGATAATGGATATATTCTGTCGTATATGAAATAAATAATTGTTTATTGATATTTTAATTAATTGAATAGAAAAGAGAATTTTTAGTATACTATATTCTTGAAAAACATAATTTTTTAACTTTGATTAACTTACGTAATACAAAATATTTTATTCAAATACACTTTATTATCAACTTTAATAAAATAATTGAGGTAATTAATTTCAGAACTTTTCATATCAAACCGACAGAATATTTGCATTGATAAATAACGTATGTAACTTATGGAATATAGGATCAGAATATAAACAAAAGAATCTTTTCTCAAACGATCTGCAGTAGATCTGTATCGTAATGATAAAGGATCTTAAAAAATTAGCTTTTCAATTCAGCTTATTAATAAAATACGATATTATTTAAGACGTAAATATCCATATGGAACTTCTTCTAAAATTGAATTTTAAGCTAAAACGTTTATACATTTTTTTATACGAACATTTTGCTATAATGAGTAGTTTGAAAAAAAATTTCAATGAAGCCAATGAGAAACTTAAATATTCAAAATGCGTAGGAATGCACTCAAGGGAAGACCTACAATGTTAAAACAATATAAAACATTTATATCGTGCTGGAAAGTATAATCGCGTGTACGTACTTTTAGTATATTTTTAGAAAAAGAAAATGTGCGCGTCCACGCGTAAAATATTTAGATCACTTGAAAGTCATGCGCAAATATGCGTTTGTTAAACATTAACAACGCTTATCTGTTATTGCAATATTAATGCTACATAGTGTGACATTTGGAGATACGAAGTGTTGTATTGTAAACGGAATGAATAAAAATGTCTAGAGAGAAAAAGCGTGCCATAATCTTAGGAATGCGGGTATAAACGTGCATGTAAAATTTATGAATATGTAATATGTAAAAAAATATAATATAAATTTATGGAAAAATGTATGTATGATATGTGTATGTATAATGCGTTCCACATATCACGCAACATTGATCTTCGATGTGAAGAGAAAGATTCTATCACACATTGGAAGAGCATAGTTTCGCGCATAAATTTCGTAGCGAATTCACGATGACGAATGGGCTATAATTCGCCGACATAGTATTTAATTGGTTGTGATTAGGAAAGATCGTCTCGGAAACTTGTTTCCTAGTCGACAAGGAAAGTAGCTGAAATGTCTGTCATATAACTATAAACCATATACTGTGTTACTTTAAAATTTAATGTGGAATTATTAAATGTACAAAGATTGCTATTTCTGTTATACAAAGTGATATTCATAAACGTGGGCCTACGCTACAGCCAGATAGGACCGCATTGAGAAACAAACTATGACACTTGTATGAATTTTAATAGCTTTTAACGACCATCGTGTTTAATGTTTGTCTGAAAAATTTCCGAGCCGGTATAACAGAAAGTGCAATCTATGGCGTAAGAAAATTGATCGTTATAAGACATTCTTGTGAGAAAGATGGAAAAAAGTTCACGCATTAGAGAAATTTGTACTAGAATTCCATTGTACCCTATAGTAATCGGGTGCCATTCAAATTGATATGATGTATAATATAATAAATTAATTGATAATTATATGTAATTTATGTACAACATATATATTTTTTACACCTTTACATCCTTCAATTCTAGAATTAAAATCCTAGAATTAAATATATATGTATACATATTAAATTAAATTACATTAGAAAGTTACGGAGACGCAATTCTGCATATACGTCGACATCCTTAATTGAATTTGTAAAGTTCTTCAAGTCAAGAAACTTCCTAATACATCGTTATTCTATTATCTTCAATTTGTTATTTCATTCTGCATTTTACGAATCTTGACGAGTACAATTACGTTGTGATCTCGAACTTCCCATTTGAAATTGTACAAGTATCACCAGGTACGTCACCACGGTACCGATCAGCTGATGAAAATTATTATTACTAAGTTGTATATTATTATAGTTTATTACTTATGGGAATTTTTAATTTTCTCTCCTTCTCATCAGACATATTTCGAACATTATTCTCAATATTCTCACCGAATAAAGGAAACTGTTATCAAGCGTGAAGTATCCATTAGCTGTGAACCGTATCTTACGATGTAATATTTGAAGCGAAAATTGCTTGAGCTATAACAATAAATCTATAATCAATGTCGAATGTTATAACAAAGAGTGTCGTTAAGAGATTCATTTATAATTACCTCTGATCTTGCTTCTTTGCCAATCGCACAACTTAAGACGTTATGCACTATATTACCCGTTTTCTCCATCTATAATAGATTTGTAATTGGAATAATGCCACGTAATTTTGTAAAACATTCTATTTTATTTCGTTTTTCACCAGTAAAATAATTAAAGCACAAATTAGAGCATGATACGCAAGCTGAATTTGCATTATCCTACCTCATTCATAATCCTAGTAATCCTGTTGGTGAGGAGAAAAATGGGATAAGTCAGATATATTAACCAGATGACGGTATTACTAAAAACCACATATTCTAAAACTTCGTCAGATATCATCAGAGGCGAAAGAAGATAGTAGCCGTTATATATAAGTGACAAAAAAAGGAAAGTGACGCCAAAGAGTATTGGCAATGAATAGAAATTCGACACGTTCTCTGAGATTTCACAAAGATTATAATGCACATCTCGCAGTTGCAGTAGCTGATTAATAGTAGAGTTGCTGACGATCACGCGGCGCGTCTGATAGAAGGATTGCGATCGAAGATCCGGTGTCCTGGATAAGTTCTGTATTGCCCGATTCACGTCCATGAAATCTGTCTGGATAATCGTAACCAGCATAAAGTACTGTATTATCATCCACCCCACATGAAATGTCGGTAGAATGTCTGTCAGCCAGGAGACTGGAGTCGTGTGAAAGGCCAGAACCTCAGAGATCAGGAGAACGATCAATAGGCAATTGTTCGAAATGTAGACGAGAATCATAGTCCATAAGACACGTTGTCGTTGCAACGGACTATACAGGCGATATAAATGATCAATCTCATGTTCAATATCCGTCAATCGGTTTATGATTCGTATAAAGGATTTCTGATCGACGCAATAGAAGAACAGAATCGTGCAGATTACGATGGTGCCCAGTATAGTTTGCACAAGTTCGATAATTACGGTCAAGTTCGACTTGTTCTCGTACTTTATTTTAATTCTATACGGTATCGATAGATAGTTCGAAGCGACCATTAAGCTGATTAGTACGCCATTGTAGATGATGCCAAATTCGGAATACTGGAATATGTATAATGTTCTCTTTTTCGAAGTATCAATACGACGAATGAACGTAGCAAGACCGATGAGCTTGAAAAATATTATTAACATCCGAAGCATCCAGAGAGAATCCTGATGTGATCTTACTTTCTGTTTGTTAACTTTTTCCACGGCGATATTCATTTTATTTAGATTTCTTAAGAAATTGGAAATATTAGCATTTGTGAAAATTAAATCACTCGAACCGGAGATATTCTTGCGATGATTATTTTCTTCATTCTTGCGATGATTATTTTTTTCCATAATTCAATTTAAAGTTAAGCTTTTTTCTTCTAACTCTTCTCTTCTAGCTCTTCTCTGTTAGACTTTATCAATTTATGTATATTCATGCCTTCTCTCATAATCTATAAATATTTTCTCTCTCTGTTGTTTTCATATTTCAGTTCAATATACATACATTTTATATTACCATTACATTTACATACGTATATACTTTTATAAACTATCTTTGTGTATAAATATTTCTTTAAATTTATACATTATAATTTGAAGTCTTGCTTGTTAACTTATAAGATAATATCGTTTCACATATGTATAATTAAATGAAAAAATATGTGTGTATGCCTGTTATTTATCGATATCTAACTTTCCAATTATTGCAAGTCAAAATTAATCATATTTGTTTAAATGTCATACAAGATTAATTATACAAATTAATAAAGTCACTGCGCTCTGTGTCGCGCTTTATTCATGCGAAGGCACTGAATGTATGTAGCGAGGAACTTTCACAAATGACTTTCTCGTGATCGCATCATGTATGCAAAACATTAAATATTAAGTTCACGAGACTCATAAGCGTGTAATAAAAAATATAAAACTAACATTTTTATTCTGTATCATTCAATACCGACTCTGTGATAAAATAGCAGATTACAGACTAGCAAGCACGTTGTGTCATGTAGTGACATCCAGTAAGACTTTCTGGAATATTTATTGTCACCTATGGTCTGATAAACGAGTACGATATGAATACAGAATATATAGTTTTATGCATTTTTCCAACTCTAATGTTAGTTAGATTATCGTAGTAATTAATGCAAACATGACTTGAAAAATTTCCTCATAACTTTCAATCCGTTGCGTCTATTTTAAATTCTTATGGAAATATGTGAAAATGTTTTCAGCCTTCGATATAATTCTTCCTCATTTTAGCGATAAATTGTTTAATTGCAATAAATTGAAGTATACTCTTATGTGTTTTACTGTTTTATATAAAATATTTGTTTTAGTATAAACAAAAACTTTATATCATGTGATGATTTATCTAAAAATATAAAATACTCACGTATTAAACATTGTTTTGCGTTCTCTTGATGTAATTTAAAGAATTTTTTGTATAATTATCTTAGATTATCTTCTTTTATAGTATAATTTGAAATTAATGAGATTTCAAATCTTGTCTATTATTATATTTTGTTAATTTATATTTCTTTCTTTTTGTGATTTGTTAAAAATATCTTTTATGTTTTTCATTTTTTAATTTCACATGAATCTAAAATATCTATATGAATAAGTAATACATTGAAGCGAGATATAAGCTCAGATTGTATATACTTGTATATTATCTACTCCATAGTATCTGTACACGCCCTATGCACATACGTTATTATAAATCGAGTACTCATATCAGTTATTGCCATTGTAATATGACCTTGCTTCTATAAAATTGATTTTTAAATGTTTTTAACTCATTTTTGAATTTATTACATCGAAATAAAAAATAATATAAGTCATATGTTACGGACATCTTACAAATAAAAACAATATTAAAAAAATAGAAGTCCGCAAACATAAAAGTAGAAAAATATAGCTATTACAAATATATCGATCATACCTCATCATAGATCTTCGTCGTTTCAGATATGCGATTTTATTAACAAGATTACTTTTACAAATTTTCTTTTATCGAGATATGCGATTATAAAATTACAATTATATCCTATGTGATTATTAAATGTACATTTATAATTTAATCTAACTTATATGATATTAAATTCAATGTAATTATAACATTTTTATTATATTTTTATGAAAATGGAAACAAATTTTTTTATTTACGGTTTGTAGAATAAAAGGGATAACATCTGTTACGGAAGTTATTCCAATTTTTGATATAATTTCGTCCTTAATAAATTTCCAATTTTGACAAAAATTACGTTCTTAATAAGTTCTGATATTTTCTTCGTAATTATATATATATATATATATATATATATATATATATATATATATATGTATTATTAATTATAAAATAAAATTTAATACTTACCAATTTTGTATCATAAAATGTTTACGGTAATTGCCACGATGTTCGTAATAAAAATATAGTAACGTCCGAAAATTTTTGGTTTGTATCACTAATTTGTACAATTTCGATACCTTTTTACGAGTACTTTTAATGTATCAAATTAATCGAAATAGTAATATTTTGAGTAAACGAAAGTATTATACAAATATTAAAATAAAACATAGGTATGTGTAAAAAAACACATTTTTATCTTTAAAATGCAATGAGAATGAGAAAAGTTATTTTCATATAATAGAGAAAACTTCTAAAATACGATAAAAACGCGGAATAAAACGTTTCTAATCTTGAAATAAAATGCAAATATAGGACTATTTTCCTATCGTTCATTGCATTATTTTTATGTAATATGTAACGTTTATCGCTAACATCAATTGTATTAATTAAACAAGTAAATAAGTTTTGTGTAAATAGTGTTTATGTGCTTTTTACAAATTTTCTCCATGGCACTACCCGAATATACAAAGACTAGTATTTCGATACATGACAGCATTATTTAACTGTCAAGTAAAAATACTATGCATGTGTCGTTCTGATTTTATCTATTATATTAGCCATTTTTATTGAATAATCTCTGACAGTGAATATTTGCCTGATCTTATCCAGTTAATTGTGACCAGTAATGATTGCAAATATTGTATCAAGTGATGATGCAGGTGTACTGCAGTCGCACAATGTGAATATATATTCACAAACTCGTGAAATAAAATATAACACAACTTATTCAAGAGATTGATTTCCACATGCGCAAAAGCTATATCGATCGCATTTACAGAATCAAACTTTAAAGTGGTTTTACAATCATTTTTAATATTTTTTATTACACTGATAAACACTGATTAACACTGATTTGAATCTTCATATAAAGATTTTCATATAAAAATTCTCAATATAACTGCTATTTTAATTTTTAATTTGGTTTTATTAAATAGCATAGATATTTTAAAATAAATATCATAAATATATGACATGAATGAATTAAGTGTTATTAAGTTTTATTTGTATAGGACATACATATGCAGATTAATAAATTACACTTAATAAATTATTTTAAAATAATGGGATCCTGATTGTAACAAGAGGTCATATTATTTACATCTCGTCAAATAAAAAGTTAACGAATTTTATGTTTCTATTTTCAAGTATATTGTAAAAGTTAAATTTATGTTGTTGGAAAATAATTTAAGAATTATATGAGAATAATATTGGCTAATAACATTAGCAATATATAAAATATAAATAGAAGATTATAAAACCAATTAATGCAAATTTAACTTTATAAATGCGTTCGATATACTTTAGCTATATATCCGCTTTTTTTTCTTTTTTTTTAGTACCATAGTACAAGAAAATAAGCAAAAATTTATATTAATGAATAAAAATTTTTATATGTTACTTGATCTCCTCATTCTTGGGACTCTCACTTCTGGTAGGCACTTCTGCTTCTACTTCCGTTTCAGCAACTGTTTCCGATTCCACTTCTGTTTCTGCTTGCATTACTGGAGCAGAATCTGTCTCTGCTTTCTGTTCCAGTTCAATTTCTGCTTCTGGTTTATGCTCTACTTCTGGTTCTGTTATAGATTCTGCTTCAACTACATCTGTATCTAGTTGACTGGCATTATCATCTGCAAGTGAATCTTCTGATCTTCCTGCATCTATGTACACATACATCAAACATTTTTATTTTTGATTTCTCTCATCTCTATTTATTATAAAAATATTTCATTGAATTATAAAACCAATCAGTTACTTTTATTTATAATTGTAAAATACCAATAAAATTACCTGAACAAGCAGGGTCAGACATCAATGAAAACACCTTCTCTTCAGGCATATTTTTTGTCAATTCTTTGAAATGGACTACTTGATTCGAAAATGATTGCCAAAATGACTGACCCTCAGGTATAGTAAACATAGCCTGCATATTTTTAAGTAGTTTTTAGTAAATGTATAACAAACCATTTAAATAAATATATTTAAATTCTTTTTTGCATATAACAATTACCTTATACTTATTGTATATATGCTCAGCCTTTTGTCTAATCTGTTCTGCCTTTTGTTTGAAAATAGCCTGAAAAGAATGTTGTAAATGATTATAGTGAAACAAAAATAATATCACATTAAATATTTTATAAATATATTATTTATACCCCTTCTTCTGCGGTTAGTTTCCATTCTCCTAGATTGCCAATGTATCGTCGCAGCTAAAATAAAAACATAATTAATTAAAAAAGATATACAAAATAGGAGAATGAATCAGGTTAATGGACAATACTTAAAATGCAAATTATATATTTTTTAATAAAATCAATAAAATTCTTTACTATCAAAATTAAAATGTTTGATATATGATTATTTACCCTTTTCACTGTTTCAACAATATGGGGATGTTTCTTCAACATTAGAGGATCAATTGAAAGAGCCAAGATATCGTCCATCGCCTGTAAACATTTATCTGTATTTGCTCGATCTAGTCCTAGATTTGATTTTATTTGAGCATCTAATTGTAGGAGTTGAGCCTCTATACGAAGCCACCTAAAAGGATAGTAGATATAAGTATTTCAATTGTAGCATAAATTAAATATATATATATATATATATATATATATATATATAGTATATAATTAAATATATATAATAATCAGTATATCATATGTATATATATATAATGTATAATTAAATACATATCACAACTATATATAGTATAGTCTTATTAATTTTGGTTTTTTCGGGTAAAAGAAGGAAACTCTTAGAAAACAAAAATATATATAAATAAATATCCTCTCCACAGTGTAAGATTTTCATCATTGTACATTTGGTGCATACATTGTACATTTGCGCACATGAAGCTGTCATCTGCACTTGATGTAATATAATTTTTATAATATAGAAACATCGCGTCTCTATTGTATCCTTTATATTAACGTTTTTTAATATAGAAACATCGCGTCTCTATTGTATCCTTTATATTAACGTTTTTTTGAAAACATATGTTGGAGGAAATTATGAGGAATACCAAAATTAACAAAACATACGTTGTAATACATAACAAATTTCTTCCTACCTCAATTTATACGTTTTTCGATGAACAGCACCATCTTTTGTTAAAAGACGCTTCTCATCCTCTGGCACGACTACATTAAAATCTAAAGAATCCTTCACCTGCTCTGGCAAAACCTCACCACTTTCCAATTGCGCTTTGAGTTTCATAGCATTTCTGGCAACCATCCAATCCCATCGCGTTCGAGCTTCTTTACTTTCAAAAGTCTTCGGCCTGTCTATATCCAGCTTAATACCTACATGTTCTCCAGCAAATGTACGAGCTAAGAGAACGCGATTTGATGTATCAGAAGATGCGGCATTTGATACTACCGTTCCATCAAGTATTGATCCTTCATTATTTCTCTCTATAAATAGATAAATGATATTTTAGTAATAGATTATAATTAAAAATTGAGCAGAGTAAAATCTATAAATGCTTACTTTCAATAGCAGCCCTTTTTTTATGCATTACATTTGGTGTTATTTGATGCTCATTAGAATCTTCATTTTTCGCTTTACGACCTCGTCCAGAATGTTCTAAACAGAAATAATACATAATTTTAAATCTTGATATAGCATGATATGGATGGCAAGTACAATATTTCATAAAATAAAATTATTGAAGATTATTTATTATAATAATTAATGCATTGAGTTCGAGATTAATGCATTGATGCATCGAGAATGTTAATATTATTTTAATTTTATTAATCAATGCATTAATTATTATATATACATTGTGCATTAAATTAAAAATAATAGAAAAGTCAATTATTCAATAAAAATACTTTATTACCTAATTTTGTATTAAATATTTACTATATTTATTTATTTATAATTTAAATATTTATTTATAAAATTATAACATAAAAAAAGAAAATATCAATAATAGATTTTCTGAAATTTCTAGGATATAAAAAATATTATATATACCGTTTTTATCCAGATTGGTTTCAGTTTCATCAGAACTAGAAAAATCTGCAAAGCGTTTTGGTTTTATCTTTCGTCCACTACGACTAACTACTTCTTTAGGCGATTCTTCGCCTTGTGAATCTAAAGCAGCTTCCTGTTTCGATGCATCACTTGTGGCTTTCCTACCACGTTTCTTTTTCACTTCTGGAGTATCCTATTATCACATATTTCCCAATGTAACATTTGAATTTTTAAAGATATGTGTTATAAATAATATTGTAAGGAACAATCGCACAAACTATTTAATCTTTAAAAATGTTTGTCGGCAATTCCTAAATTTCTTTTGGAGTATATTCATCAATAACTGTTCTTTTTTTGCACAGTATTGTGAGGCATGTAATAAATACTCCAAAGCTTTTTGTATTAAAAAAAAAGAAAAAACTTACAGTAGTATTGGAGGTAGTCGTAAGAGATTTTCTTTTGTAAGATTTTTTCTTTTCTCCTTCATCTATCATTAAGGAACCAGATTCCATGTCGCTATCTGTAGTACTAGCAGTTGGCAATTCTGTCGTTTCGGCACCTTTGGATAAAACACAAATTGGCTTATTTATAAAATAATTATTTTAATAAATATATCTAATAATTATATAAATAATTATTATTATTAATATTAGTCATTATATAATACCTTTAATGGCTGCAATATCTGCCATAGGCTTATTTCTGTCATTTTTAAGTTCTTGTTCAAGTTGTTGTATGCCCTCATGAAAAAATTTTCGTCGACTAGGTTTGCAAAACTTTGCTTTGTTCTCAATATAAGTATACAACTCTTCAACTTTGCAAACAGCTCTGAAATTAATACCATATTTCATTAAATATCATGAAAATATTTGTCAATATTAGGATAAAAACTAATATATTATAGAGCAATATTACGTTAATATTAAGCAAGCTAAATTTTGCAACAATGATGTTACTTATGACATTACTTACGTTTCTCCTGTACCATAAAAGTAGACACTATATTTAGCATTCTTTGAATTTGGATCACTGACTTTTTCAACCTGTAAATAGATAGACAATACATTTAAGTTACGTTTGTATATAATGTACAAGGTTGATACATAGATACGTGCTGAAAAAAAAAATATATATATATATGTGCGCCATATATATAATACATATATACATATAATACATATATATATATATATACATAATAAAAAATATATGTAATTAGACTTATAAAAAAATATAAATTTTTAGTCGAATTTAATTAATATTAATGTAATATTACGTAAATATAAATAGCGATGCGTCTTATCAATCATCATAATCATGTAAGATACAACTTAGCGAAATATTCATCCTACATAAATCCCGCGCTTTTCTTACTTTTACGTGAGAAACGCGATCTTGCAAAACATGACCGCGTACATACGAGACGATCCGAGACGCAATCTATAAATAATTAATATCCATCTCTCGTTGCGTCATCGTGATCAAATACTCGCGGAAAGCGAGATACGATAACATCGCACGCGGTATTAGACATTTTTCTATTTCGTCGTAGAAGCGTCTAGATACTTACTTTGGCTGGCCATGGCGGGTAACCTCGAACTTTCGCAAACACCTTGTCACCGGCGAAGAATTTCTTCACCAGTTTCACCATGATTGCAGGCGATCCGCGATCGCGGCACCGATCTGTCCTAAGGGTACTCTCTCGCTCGTCGAACGCTGTATTAACGATATGGCGTAGTTAATTTCGGGGCAACATCTCACAAAACACCACGACAACGACCGCCATTTGCACGACACGATACACACATCGAAAAAACACACGCGCGATACGACGCTTGATCCGATTCGTCGTCGTCTGCCCGCGTAAAATCAAGCGCACGATTGTTCGTCAAATACGCGCTCGCCGATTGGCCGCTGTTGACAGTACGTGGAGCCAATCAGCGATCTCCGATATTATCTTGGTTCTCGTCGATGCGACATCAATGTAAATAGCTCGTGAGGTTTCGCGCGATGCGTACGATGATTTTAGTTGGATGAGAAACTGCGGGAAGATGCGCGTGAAGTTTGCGAACGCGTGATTAGGACGCGACTCTCTCAATGGGATACGGGCTGTCTGTTAAATACTACACGAATATTCGGACGACGCATTTATTTCGGATGCGCTCGACGTTTTGAGGGAACGTGCGATGTTGTCCCCGACGACGATCCCGATAACGCGCCATCTCGTACTCTCACCAGGACCGCCGAGCAGAATGTAAGTGCGTATCGCGTTACGTTAGTTTGTAATGCATTACGCGTTCATCCGTGTATTTTCTTTTTCATCTTCGCCGATTTTTCGCGGCACGCGTACGTTTCGCTCTCGATCACTTATCAAGTACATCGATCCTTCGTTAATCTTTCACGATCCGACTCCGGGCCGTTCGATGTTACATCTACCTGTCACATAAGGAATTCTGATTAATCAGTCATATATTACGGATGAGATTTTACATTATTTATATTATATTCTGACTCGTATGTAAATTTGCATCGCGATTTTAATGAATCAATATTTAAATGTCATTGAAGATCTTTTTGTGTAATTATGTGAGAATTAAATTTAAGGAATGACAGAGTTGCAAAAAATACTTAATGAATATAAGGTATATATAAGTATGTTTATTGACAAATACATTTATTGAGAAACAAAATTATACATAATGCGATGAATATGAATTATTGAATGTGACATGGATAGATTAATATTACTTAAAGTATGAAGATATACTTTACACTCAGTGACTTTATCAAGTGCAAATCCAAAAAAAAAATTTGATGTTTACTTTTAAGAACTATACAGATAAATAGTATTTTGTAATTTTCTAAGAGCTAAAAGAAAAAATAAAATTATAAGAAATATTTTACTTAATTTCTTTAATTATTTATCAATTTTTTTATGTTATATATAATAAGCAGATGAACTCAGAATGGTCTCAATGGCAGTGTTTTTTATTACTGCGATGAAAGATGCCAATTCTTAAAGAGCTGTACTTCTGCTGAAGTGGTTCTGGTTCAAGAGGCCTGTGCTAAAGCACAATGAGAGCCATTGTATCAATCGCACTGATCACACTGCTGTGTGGTATAAGTTTAGCCTCTGTCAATGCCACTAGAAAATGTGCCAGCAGAAAAGGAAATGCTGAAAATTTTTATTCGAGACAGAACTCAACAGGTGTACCTGAAAATACATCCAATGACCATAATGTAGGTCATACAGTAAATTATTAAAAAATATGCTCTTTATTACATTTTTCATATTTTGAAATATTTACAAGCATATTGAATTCAAGATTTCAGAACTAAACTAGCTCAAAATCTTGAATTTAATATGCTTTTGTAAATATTTCAAAATATGTAAAATAAAAAATATATATTTTTAGATAAATGAGGATGTCGAATTTGAGGAATGTAATAATTTTTGTCATGCTTTATGGGTAGAGAATAAGACCGCAAATGGTACCAAAATTAAAATTTTATCTCAAGGTATATAAGATTATTTATTATACATAAACATCGATTCATAATTGCCATCTAATATAAATAATTGTATCTGATATATGTTGTTTGTATATCAATTAGGTTGTTGGAAACAGTCTGGTGAACAAAAATGTGAAAATACAGAATGTGTTCCACTTAAGAGATCCTCAAAAGCTTTGAACAATACAAAATTTTGTTGCTGTCATGGAGATTATTGTAATCTTAATATCACAAATTCCAATTCTGCTTCAGATAACTCGGATAATAAAATATCTAACTCTCTTTCATCACAAAAAAGTCAGCCAAGTAAGCTTAATAACATTTAATATCAAAATAAATTACATTATACTTATAAAATATATTATATTTTTATAAAATAATGATGATGGACCAAGGAACATTATTTTATAATAATTTTCAGCTACAGAATATCTTGAACAGTCAAACTCTAAACGATGGGTGCTTATTATACTAAGCATCATAGCATGTATATTACTAGTGATATGTATCATAGCAATGATTATATACAAAACGTATAATAATAATATTTTAGCAAGATTAGGAAAGCCGTTACCTTATAATGATCAGTTTATGGATAGTCCAGCATTAAGAACTGGTACTTATACAGTTGATCACTTGAAACTCACAACTATTGTAGGTATGTCCTTCATTAATTACTATTTTGTAAAATTAATGACATCTTTTTTATCACATTATTTAATATTAAAATTATAAAATATATGTATAAAAAATGTATTCATATATATATGTATTTATGTATAAAATATATATATGTTCAGAGTTCTCTTTTTTTGCAAATTATAATTATAATGATACTACAGGTCAAGGACGATATGGATCAGTATGGCAAGGTAGCATGGGAGATCAAGATGTTGCAGTTAAAATATATCCCTCGCACTATCGCAATTATTTTCAGAATGAGAGAGATACTTATTGTTTACCTTTTATGGAGCATCCATCATTATTAAGCTATTATGGTTTGTATTATATATTTTATTGAAATTAAGATGAAATAAACTATAGTAATAATAATCTAAATAATATAAATAAAAATAATGTATATATAAAACTGGTTTTGATTTTGAAGTCCTAAATTCTTTAATTTGTTTCTAAATCTTTAAGTTAAATAATAAAACAAAAATTTGATTAATATTTTAATTGCAGGTGTGGATGAAAGAATAAGTATGGATGGTAGTGTTGAATATCTTTTGGTATTCAGTTTTGCTGCAGGTGGTAGTTTAACAGACTTTTTACGAACACATACTATTGATTGGATTACATTCTGTAAAATGAGTCTTTCGATAGTTAAAGGACTTGCTTACTTGCATACAGATATACGCAAAGGTGGTATGTATACAAAATTATTTTTTTATTATATTATATTATAAAATTATATAATTAAAATTTTTTTATAGCATAGATTTACATAAATATTATTCTTTTTAGATAAATTCAAACCATGTATTGCACATAGAGATATAAATTCGAGGAATGTATTAATCAAAGCTGATGGTACTTGCTGTATTTGTGATTTGGGTTTGGCGGTTCAAATCTCTGGATCTAAGTATTATTCTAATGGAGAGGAACAGCATGCTGAATTAAAATCAATTAATGATGTAAATATCTAAATATTCATAAAATTTTAAAGATTATGTTATTATAATTAAATTTCTATTAAACTCTAATTCTTGTGCTAGGTGGGCACTTTGAGATATATGGCACCAGAAGTATTGGAAGGTGCTGTTAATTTACGAGATTGTGAAAGTTCTTTGAAACAGATAGATGTTTATGCAATGGGATTAGTTCTTTGGGAACTAGTTACAAGATGTTCTGACATTTATATTCCTGGATCAGAAGTACCACAATATAAACAGCCATATGAAAATGAAATAGGTATACAAATTATATATATACATACATATATATATATATATATATATATATATATATATATATAATCAAAATCTATGCTGTTCTAATACTGTTACATTTTATTTTGTTATTTATATATTGTATATATTTTGTTATATTTTATTTCATAACAAATGTATTTTTCTTATTTTATTTTCTAGGTCTTCATCCAACATTTGAACAAATGCAAGTTTTAGTATCGCGTAACAAAGCCAGACCATTGTTAGAGGGTAATTTAGTGGATAGACCAGGAGTACGTTTGATTAAGGAAACTATTGAAGATTGCTGGGATGCTGATGCGGAAGCTCGTTTAACTGCTTTGTGTATAGAAGAACGACTTTCGGAATTGCAATCTCATCGTGGTAATGTGTTTAATATTTAATGAAAATACATACATTTTACATTTTCTAACAAAAGACTTGTTTTATAGTGACAATGCACTTTACTGATGGAAGTCCAATGGTGAATTCTCATTGCACCGTAGTGCCTTCAACGACAAACAGTCTTTATAGCGAGTCCTCGCATCATGATAATGTACATGTTGTTCAACTTGCATTAAACATGATGCAAGATGGTAATGACAGTGCAATAGCTGAAAACTTAGTTATATTATCACCATCTGATAGTGTTGCTCATGAACACAGTTGTAAGCAATTGATTATTAATAAACGTTATACATTTTATAATACTTGTAATATACTATTTTAATCATTTTTAATCTGCTTGTGTTTCAGTTAAAAATTCAAACGAAGTAGCGACATATAATCACACTCAAACGCTTCAGCCGTATCAAGGAAGAAATCCATGTATGGAGAGAAATTTAATGTTACAATCGGATTCCTTGGATGACTTGGGCTGTAATGGCAATGTTCTCGTCGATAAATCGTTGAAGCATGCGTGTCATGATCAATATAAGATAACTACAGAAGCACAAGGTCTAGTTTCACATGATTACTTAAGTCAACATACTACTCAATTAACGCAACTTAGACCAGCGACGCCTATACCATATGTCCAAAATGTCATTTCCGATGAAGGATCAACTTCTTGCAGTAAGCGAAAACAAACGAATATACAAGACTCATCGCTTCAAGAAAGTCCACGAAAAAAATTATTTGCCTGGCCCAATTTAAAAAAGTTGCTCATTACTAAAAAGATGTATCCGTACAGTAGATATCAAATTGACAGGGAGGATTCCAAATCTAATTTATTATCGAAGCAAAATATTCAAATTAAAACTGTTGAAACAAATGTAACAATCTCTTCTGGAGGAAAGTACGTAAATGGTATTGTTGGTAAAACTTCTACTTCGGCAATGCCGATAGAGAAGAATGACAAAAATACCATGCAAACGGGGAAGCAAAAGCAATACGAGACTGATAACACGACATCTAATGCACGTCCTTCTACTTTACCACTTGTCAATTTAAGAAACAAAAAGACAGAAAACAATTTAAGCAGACAACAGAGCATTGATAAATTTAACGAAGTTTTTAATGTGGGTTCAAATATAAACAATGCGTTAAAAGACCCACATATGAGAATAAAAACGCCCGGTGATTTGCCACCGTCCGTTAGAAAAATTCGTGGCCGTGCGCAATCAACAGCGAGATTTTCTCTTTATGATGATCGTATGATGTGCAATATCTTGAACGAAGAAGACGATCGAAATGACAAAGCCATTTGGAATTCAGTGCCATTTGGTATGGATCTCGGTGATAATGATGGGAAACATTCACCAACGAAACTTGGTACCAAAAATGTTACGTGCTTTTAATCAGATATGATATTAATGTGTTTGTAAAGTCTTTATGTCTATAACTTAGTCAAAGAAAAGAGGAATGTTGTAGGATACCTCTAGCTTCAATTTATGTACAGAGAGAAAGAGAGAAAAAACTTATGTCTATAAGAATAAGTAAGATTTTATACTCAATGCAAATATATATTATTATAATATAGACACAGTAAAAAATACGATAAAATTAAAAAGAAATTTAAAAAAGAATATATTTAGAAATTTATGCTATTCAATTGGTTTGTCATGTTATATTGATAGCATATTTTGTGCATCATGAATGCTTTTGCTGAAGTAGATGATTGAGTATGACAAGAAGTGCACATTACAGATAGAAAATAGAAAATCAAATTGACTTGCGATTTATATTCGCTGAACTAAGAAATGAGTTTATTCGTAATTTTACTTTTGTATACATGATATTTGTGAATCATCCTCTTTATTACCAATATTTCTTTCAATTTGATATTTGTAGATTTAATTAATTCAGTGTAATTGATAAAACATAGACAATCAATATTGACATTTACATCACATCATAAGATATTATTAACATCTCGATGTGTAATTGTCTTTTATTTTTTCCACAACATTTAAAAGACATAATCTCTATGTAATGTGTAAAAAACCAATCTCTCTTAATGTTAATATTTGTAGAATATTCCCCATTTGATATTATTAACTCAAAGACTTATGAAATTATGAATGAAAGTAATGCAAACTTCAATTTTTTATTATTAACTTTATATATTTTACATGAGAATTCGGTTTACTTTTTATGCATAACAAAATATAATTTAAGTTCTAAACAAATTATGCAACAAATTTGTTCATTAATATGCAACGATATTTATCAGATATACGAATCTTATACAATTAATACAAAGCCATTAATATTAATATAGGTGATTATAATTATAAAATAGAAATAGAGTATAAAAAAAGGATATATTTGAGCACAAAGTATAATTGTATCGAGTTATACGAAAATTATTTTTCCTGATCCTGTAAAAGTTCAGTGTAAATACCCATAGTATTAAAAGAAAACTATTGAAATACGTTGAATATACTTGTTATGTTATGTCATGTTATGTTGAAGATATCCTAAATTCTTATGTTACATATTTCTTGCGCGGTACTTTATTCTACATGTTATTATTAACAAAATTAAGATAATGAAATAATGATTATGCAATTCATAATAAAGTATGTCTTTTGTCGAAAATTTGCGTCCTTTCATTTATAATAAAACAGACATATTAGATTATAAGAAATATCTAAATATTATAGGAAATAAATTGGAAAATTTTATGAAAATATTTCAAAAAAATTTATAAGAATTAAATTATTTTATATATTAACTTTTTGTATATTTGTGAAATTATGAATGTTTTACACTTCTTTGATATGCATTTATTAGATGGGTCTTTCTGTATTTCCATCTATGTAATTATTTAAATCAAATGTCTATTCTATTCAATAAATTACATTTTTATTGTACCTCTATTATATATTTAATATTTTTTTTAATTACATAAATTTTTGTAATTAAATTTTTTAAATTTGTATCTTTTTATTTCTGAAAACTTGTATATATAATTCTTAATTACATCCTTAAATTAAATTGCATAAATTAAGTATATGTAATTTATATTTAAAGGTTTTATATTTAGGTTCTTTGTCAATTCAATCGAGTATATGTTGCGTTACGTCATTGAAACTTTGGTTGCAATGGACAATATATGTGATATGTGTGTGTGTGTATCAATGTATATAGTGTGTAATCCCGGCAATGTCGAACATCGCGTGTGCTTCGTGCAACATCGTAAAAAAAATTTTGACAAAAATATTATAACTACAAAAAATTACTTGGTATTAGATAAAATTGATAATCATGACTATTGTGAATATTTTAAATCGTAATATTAATTTAACTCAATTATTAAAGCTACATCCGTTCATCTATGGAGTAAGATTCATAACCTTTACTTTCTTCTAATTGGTTTTGTATTTGTTAAATAGAAAATTTTGCGACTTATGAAAATTACTTTTTTTTTTAGCAAAATGTGCGGTCTTGGGCATCACATGCTAAATTTGCCGAGCATAAACCATTGGAAAAGCTCAGGAATATTGGTATATCAGCTCACATTGATTCTGGAAAAACTACCTTGACCGAACGTATTTTATATTATACCGGTAGAATATCCGAAATGCATGAGGTGAGTTGTAGAATTTAATTATTGTATATTTTTAGTGTTTATTTTTATATAATAGGCAGATAAAATTAACTAAGTTAAGTATATGTTACTACATTTATATTATAATATTTCTATGAAATAGAGATCATCATAATATATACATATATATATATATATATATTATGTTATATATATATATTATATATATTGTTTGTTAGGTAAAAGGAAAAGATAATGTTGGTGCAACTATGGACAGCATGGAATTGGAAAGGCAGAGAGGAATCACTATTCAATCTGCCGCAACATACACATTATGGAAAGATCATAACATTAATATTATTGACACACCTGGACATGTAGATTTTACAGTGGAAGTTGAAAGAGCTCTACGTGTTTTGGATGGTGCTATACTTGTTCTTTGTGCTGTAGGTGGTGTCCAATCACAGACTTTGACTGTAAATCGGCAGATGAAGAGATACAATGTACCCTGCTTAGCATTTATCAATAAATTAGATAGGATGGGTGCAAATCCAAAAAAAGTCTTACAGCAAATGAGAACTAAATTACATCATAATGCTGCATTTTTACAATTACCAATTGGTCTGGAAAGTAATACAAAGGGAGTAGTTGATTTAATTTCTCAAAAAGCAATTTATTTTGAAGGAAATTTTGGGGAAGTTGTTAAAGAGGCTGAAATTCCAAAAGATATGAATACAGGTATGAATATAGAATTAGATCTCAAAGTCATATTTATATGTTTGTTTTCTATTTTTGCTTTACAAAGTTATTATATACAATGTTACATCTTTTAGAGGTGAATGAAAAGAGGCAAGAATTAATTGAGCACTTGAGTAATGTGGATGATACACTTGGTGAATTATATTTAAGTGATACAAAGTTAACTGAGAAAGATATTATGGATGCTATACGTAGGAGTTGTTTGAAAAGAAAATTTACACCTGTATTAGTTGGTACTGCATTAAAAAATAAAGGTGTTCAGCCATTATTAGATGCAGTAATTAACTATTTACCAAATCCAGGAGAAGTAGAGAATTATGCTCTTCAAGAGAAATCTGAGTAAGCATTTTGTATATTAATGATTTTGTATATTGATAATTAATACTTGTGTATATACTATGTACCTAAAGATAAATTTTATTTTATATCTCTATTGTTTATTTTATTAAATATATCTTTATCTTTTATTTTTTATTAGTGGAGAATGTACTAAAGTTTTATTAAATTCTGATCGCGATGATAAAAATCCTTTTGTTGGATTGGCTTTTAAATTGGAAGCTGGTAAATTTGGTCAATTAACGTATTTCCGTTGTTATCAAGGAATGTTGAGAAAATCAGATAACGTATACAATACGAGAACAAGAAAAAAGGTAATTATATATTTACACACACACATACACACACATTTCTTTATAATTTATCATTAAAATGTTCAAAAAGTCTTTAAAAACTATTATGATAATTGTATGTTCTATTATTTTCAGGTGCGAACTCAAAGATTAGTTCGGCTTCATTCAAATGAAATGGAAGATGTGACAGAAGTCTATGCAGGGGATATTTTTGCTTTATTTGGCATAGATTGTGCATCTGGTGATACTTTTGTCAGAGATTCTAAGCTAAAATTATCAATGGAATCAATTTATGTTCCTGATCCCGTGGTATCTATGTCTATACAAACAAAAAATATGAAAGATCGAGACAATTTTGCTAAAGGTATTAGTCGATTTACTAAGGAAGACCCAACTTTGCGTTTCAGCTATGATGTCGATAATAAGGTAAGATTTTTAATATAATAAATTATTATTTTTAGCAAATATTTATATATATTACTAAGACATGTCTCTTTCAGGAAAGTATAGTTTCTGGTATGGGAGAATTGCATTTGGAAATTTATGCACAACGATTAGAACGTGAATATAATTGTCCAATCATTCTTGGAAAACCAAAGGTTTCTTTTCGTGAAACTTTATGTGAACCATGTGAATTCGATTATCTTCATAAAAAACAATCTGGTGGTGCTGGCCAATATGCTCGTGTGACTGGAATTATGGAAGTATGAAATATGTGCATTATCTTTTTATTATTTATATTTATCATATTTATTGATATTAGATATTATTTGCGTATGTACATATAATCTTTCAATAATTTTCAAACAATATTTTATTTATAAAAAAAAATTTCTCTGTTTCTTATTCTTAGCCCTTGCCACCTCATAAGAACACACATATCGAATTTTCGGACGAAACTATAGGGACTAATGTTCCAAAACAATATATCCCGGGTGTAGAAAAAGGCTTCAGAGCTATGTGTGAGAAAGGTATGCTCAGTGGACATAAAATTGCTGGTGTTCGATTCAGAATAATAGATGGTATGCACCATTGTGTCGATTCTTCGGAGTTCGCTTTCTTCCAAGCTGCTCAAGGTGCTGTCAGAGATGTATTTCAAACTGGTAGCTGGCGAATTTTAGAGCCAATTATGTTGGTCGAAATAACGGCTCCTGAGGAATTTCAGGTACAATAATATTGCTTAATATAGTTTATTTTGCATTTATATAATTTATTACCTCTTGGCTACAAACTTACATGTCCTTATATTACATAATTAAATTTTTAAATGATATGCCCTTTATAGGGTGTGGTATTAGGACAAATCAATAAAAGAAAAGGAATTATAAAGTCAACGGAAACGAATGATGAATGGTTCACAGCCATTGCAGAAATACCACTTAATGAAATGTTTGGTTACTCTGGTGAATTAAGATCCACTACACAAGGTAAAGGAGAATTTACTATGGAATATACAAGATACAGTCCTTGCCTACCAGAGGTACAAGAAGAACTTCTTAGACAATATCAAGAATCACAAGGAATTGTAGTAGCTCAGAAATCAAAAAATTGATTATAGAGCATTAGGTATGTCTAGTGAAAAATTGCGCAATATTATCGTGAAAGCTATAAATGTATCATGGTAATATTCATGTTTTATTATATCTAAATATTTACTTAATGTAAACTATTAAGATATAGTAATGAATTAATTTATTATAATAATAGAAAGTTGATGAATGCAATTTGTATAATTGTATAATTGGCAATTTTGACAGAGTGAATGTATTGAGCGGATTAGTTCATGTCGAAAATGTGTGATATATAAAATACAAAATAAATACATAGAAAATAATTTCTAGCTACAGAGAAATGTACAACAAAATATTGTATTGTATTGTATTTCCTATATTGTATTTCTCATTATCTCTCCCGTGCGCGATTTTCGTTTATAACATAAAATTTAGTTTCAACATCAGCTTTCTCTGTTTCTGTATTTTTAAATATATTAAATATATACGATAACGTATTCTCTTTGTCTGTATATATATATATATATATATATATATATATATATATATATTTTTTTTTTTTTTTTTTTTTTTTTTTTTTCAAATCTTGTTTCTTATTTTTTCCCTCCAATGCTTTTATTTTGAATGTTAAAAATGTAATAAGTAACTCTATTATAAACTTTTATCTATTATATTTAATTTAATATATGGAAAAAATATATATATATTAATATATAAATGATATATATTATATATAATTATATATATAGAAGTATAACTGTACACTACTATATGTATACATAAATAAATAAATACTAAGAGACCGAGAGACGGTTGTCATGGCGACGATACAAGATGGCGCTCAGGTGGAGTGCATCGCGGCGCACAGTGCGACGCGCAGCGCGGCCTATCAGTCGCGTCCTGATAGATTGGGGGGGAGGTTGCGTCGCGCGTCTTCTACCCTCTGTCGCGTTCTCGAGCACGAGATCGGAGCGCGTCGCCGCGAGTGTGCTTCGCCGGGGGAGACGCACCCTCTTGTCCTCGGTCGCTGCGTATCGCCAAAGCCGTGCGTGCAGTCGTGCCGCGTGTGCCCGTGTCCGAAAAATGTAATATGGCGATGGTTGCGTCGAACATGAGCGGCCACATACAGAAGCAGCTCACCAGGAGCCTCGAACGAATCCTGGAGGAGGCGCACCTGAGCGGCGAACTCAAACTCAGCGGTCGCAAGCTCAAGGACTTTCCGAAGGTCGGGAAAGCCGGCGCGGCCAAGTACAACCTGCAGGACACTGTGATCGCTGGTGAGTCGATTTGATCCATTTTTTTTCGCTATTTTCGATCAGGTCGATTTTACCAGGAATGATCGTACAAATATTCGCGAATGTCAAGTATACAGAGGAATACGTATACGCGGTAACGCACGCGATTGATCCGAATTCTGTTTGGTGGACATTTTTGTTTGTTTTTGTGTGCGCGCTTTTTCGCTCTCTTACGTCACAAGGATACGCAGGACACGGCAAATTCATAAATACATATATTCGCAAATAATTTTTCGTGTATTTGTAAGTTAACACTCATTGTTAGTTTATTATATTCGTAATATCTATTTCAATTCTCGAAACAATACTTGCTTCGCGTAACTTGAAACATTTTTTTAAAGATTTTTTAAAATTTGACATCATGTGAATTGTCGGTTAAAAATTTTTCTGTGACATCCGAAGTAGAGTATTCCTATCGAATCTGCATTTTCCATAGAAAGATTTATTTGGATTTATTCCTGTCGGAAAGTTTACAATAGAGAGAATTACTTACAAAGATATTATGTTTCGTGTCAATGAATATGTATTATATATATGGAATGCTATTAAATCTAGCTTTTGGTTATTTAACAACCGAATACATATGTACCGTTCGTGTCAGTGCATTGACCACAGAACTTTTAAGCATTACCTAATACGCGTGCACCTGCCAGGTTCTCGACACCTGGCGTGCATTATTCACCGATAATTGCAGCTGATTGTAGAGCTTTAGCAACGTATAGTGCTGGCAGATTTATTAAACATTCCGACGACGATTTGAAAACGCATTTACGAACGAAATTCGCACTTTTATTGCGCATTTATTATGCTTAACATCGATTCTTCTCGAGACTCGTTTCGATTTTACGTTTGAAGTACATATGTGACGTACATAAATATTTATTGTATTTTAATCGTTTTTCGGATGCACAGTGCAATAATTAAATTTGAATAAGATAATCACTTTGACTGATAAAATTTATATTTTATCGATCAAAATAATGACTTTCAACGCATAAAACAATTGAAATATTCAACTGATGTATATACGCAATAGGATCAATAAATAAATGACATTGTAACTTTTATTAACAAGTTACAAAGTAAAAGGAAAAATAGTCACACATTATAATAAAGGAGCATTACAAATAAATTAAAATGGATTTTTTATTCTTCATGACACTTCGAAGAAAAACATCCATGATGTAGATAAATATAATTTAATCATAATACTGAGACAATTTAAAACTAGGATTAAGCGGAACGAATATTTACGGGTTAATTCGTTTCTCTTGAAATAATTCCTGCAGATATTAAAAATTCTTCTTTTGATTGTGCTATTTTTGCAGTTGAATTCCTACGTGAAATTCAAATTTCAGATGAGCAAAAAGAATGTAAAAGCTTTTACAAATAATAGTCACATCAATACTTTTTAACAAAAAAATTAGGGAAAAAAATAAAATAAAAATAGAAAATTACGAACTTTAAGTAAAAATTCACAGAAAGAATACAAAATTTAGACTGACATATTTCATTATCATATGCAGAGACAAGACATGTGTGTGTGTTTATATCGAAATAAAAACATATCAAATGAACACAGACTGCAGAATATAAAACAGACTACAGAAATGTAAACTCGTGGGATCTTTATATAGCAAGGTTTATACAACATATTTATACCATGCTTTTTTTCACTTGCGAGACAAAATAATATGCAAACATGACATACAATCTATGTAAATAACATATTCTTAATATCTTAATATATCTTGATTAAATGATGTAGCGTTATGTTTTTCCATTGAAAAGTCAAAGTACAAGTTACATACAAATTTAATTTACATACAATTTAATTACAAAAATATTAATATATAAAGTAAATATCTCTCCAAGTAATTTTAATATTTTCTCTTTTTTTCAATATTTCTTTTCCTTGTTGATTTAAAAGTCCAAGCAAATTTAGTTACGACAAAAATGTTAGTAGTAAATATCTACAAATAATTTTAATATTTTTGCTTTTATTTAAAACATTTCTTTTCCTTCTGATCTCATCCGCGTAATCGTAAAAAGAATCAATGTGACATAATAGTCTCGAAATAGAAAGATATGAAAAAATGAGAAAGAACCGCGCTCTGAAACGAAATTATGCGCCAAAGTTATGCATCCGCGGAGGGACTTATTTCTGTCGCGCCGTGTATAAACATCGTGTGCGCCAAGAGCGTGCAATCGTGTCCGCAACTCTTTCGTGTCGTGCACAAAGGAGACTTTCCGCGCGTTATAATTTTCCCGCCCGATAGATCGACGTCCTGGTTCTCCTTTTATCACCGGGGGTTCGGTCTGAACGTGCCGCAGGAACCGCGTTATCTCGGCGCACCCAGTGTTTCCTGTCGCTGTAATAAATACATGTCGAACAGCCGATAATATTCCAAGAGTAACGAGAATTAAGTTCGCTAAGAATGTGCCAAGTTTCGACGTTGTCGATACGTCGCTGACACTTGACAGTAACAAAACTTGCAAAGTATCGACAGACGTTTCGTCTTTGTCTCTCACGCTTATTTCATTAAGATGGAATTACTTCAACTGTCGCTTTTGCATCTGCGATTTCTGCACTTCGATAAAAAAGTGAAATAATTGGCAATTATATAATTATATTAATTATTAACACGAGTCACTAATATTATATAATATAATATATATACACTTGCAAGATATTTTAACATAAAACACGAGAGAGAGAGAGACGAACATTTTAAAATTATTCGCTACTTATGCTCATATATATTGTCATATTTAATAAATTTAAAATATTATTTAATTAAAATATTAATTAAAATAATAATTAAAATATTATTTAAAATATTATTTAATTAAAATACATGTATTATAAATAATGATACGACAAATGTGAGGTTTAATTTTTCGATTGATGATTTACATTATTTTTTTAAGACAGTTAAAATTTATTCGATTTTTATATTAGTAATATATATGTGTATAAGATTTTGTAAGAAATAATATAAGTGTACGTGTGTATATATTAGATGAATATCTGGGTCAACACCCATGGATATAATATTAAAGGCAATAAATTACAGGCTATTCATCGATATTGCGAAAGAATTCAATCGACTCTAATTCGCGGAATAATTTCATGCGTTCGCTGTTATACATTGATTAGATTCTACGATGCTGATTCATAATTCTTAAGCAGAATGCTATATAGTATATTCGCGGTGTCGTGCGTACTCACACTTTTTTTCTTACGCGTGTTACACGTACTCGCTTATTCAGTATAATGCCTGTAATGTCAGGAATGTGAGATAACATTGCACGTGAAGTTTTTCCAATCGTTATTCACAATTTTCAATTATGGTTACACTTTCGTGGATTAATAGATAGCAATAACGATCTTACTTTCGTGTTTCAAACTGGAGAATGTTCCCATTAAAGCAATTTGAAAATCCAGTGCCCCATATTTTCACCGCATATAATTAACGGTTGGACGAATGATAATCAACGACTCGCATTATTTAGCACACTGACACTCGGAGAAAGTGCAGACGCTTTCTTGTTGATTTCTTATTCATACTTTTTTTTGTAAAAAGTAATTCTGAAACGCGATAACTCATACATATACACATAGAGATGGCACACAATACGTTTTATTTTAATTATATCTTAAAAAAATATTGCACATTTTATTTTAATTATTTTCAGAAAAATATGTTACCATTATAAAAATAACGCGATATTTGCATATATCCTTCTGTCACAATCTTTAATCCGACCGAACAGCGGGCTCATCGAATTTCGATGACGTTCGTCGGGAAATGGACTAGAATCATAGATTGACGTTTCCCTGGAGAATGAATCGGTGATATTCCATGGTAGGGGACTTTTTTACTATTTTCCCGAGCATTATCGAACTGTCCCTCGCTCGCCCATCTTACGAGTCCCGTGAGAGAGGGGACGTAACTTTATTAACGGACCCCAGGTCAGTTCAGTCAGCCTTGATGAGATATCTGATAGCTTATTCCATATCGGACACCAGAATGAAATATGCACGCGTACCAATTAACGTTACGTTTCTTCTCTTCTCCGAAAAATATCTCTCTTTTCAGAATAAATATATCGTTCTAGTGCTTGACAAACTTAATTTTAATTATAGAAGAAAATATTTCGTAATATTTT